GGTACATACAGCAAGATTCATATTTTCACAGAGATTGTCCAAAAACATATTATAACTGTAAAAATAAGCTCCTTATCGATCAATAGTCATAAAAGTTGCCTTCTTTACTTAAGGTAATACATATATATACGCTAATTTATAAAGATTTCCAAGGTAACCTTTTCATATTCAGTTTACCTAACCTTCACCTCATGTTATCAAACAATTTCCTGATCTTCATCTATAATGTTTAATTAATCTATTCATTTCATATTATGTAAAATTATAGAAATTTTCTACTTGAATAAATATTCTCATTATTTCAACTGATTATTTCAATGTTAATTATTTCAGCTAAATTCTCCGTTAATTCATGAGTGGAATATTCAAATAAAGCAGCTAAATGAATGACATTTTTCATCGTTTCAGAATTGCAACAGTTCATCATCATCATCATCATCATCATCATCATAGACGTTAGTTAATTCGATTATTCAGAGCTATATACGGCTTCATTTCATTAATTGATTATGTTTTAAGAAACTTTTACAAGATAACATACTTGATTCAGTGTCTATTAGTTATTATATTTAACTTCAAAAACCATGAATGTTTAGACTTAACTATGAATATGACATAATCAGTCCTATACTCGAACTCTAACTACACATCATCTCCCTTTAACTGAAAACAATCAATGGAAAACCATACCTAACAACGTATTGGGTAGGTAATGTGTACAATTAACTACATTTTATGGATTTAATAATTTGCAACATTAGATAATAATAATAATAATAATAATAATAATAATACGTTACAAAGTTTGATGGCATTACGCTTAAAGAGAGTGAATTATAGAAATAAAAGCATTAATATCTTAAGACTGTGCTAGAGAAAGCTACATGCTTTACACAAAATATATCAAGCATCGATCTATCAAGAATGAAATAGTGTACTGTACATTTTTCTTGATATTCACCATTATAAAGTTAATAGCTGGGTTCATCTACTTGAATAAATTAATGAAAATGAATAAAATTCTATTACTCCTGACTATAAATAACAAAACTCAACTTCATTTATCTTCTCTTTAAAAAGAATGAAAATTTACATGAGATCCAAATAATTAGGCCAGTTATAAATCTATAATTTTAGTTTCATAATGGTAAGAATAAGATAATCATATGTGAGATAGATAATATTATACGTTAAAATAATAAGCTTTTAAATCGGTTATAGCTTAGACATGTAAAATATATACTATACATAAACTTGAAAGATCTAGTTGAAGGGGTTTGTACACACTGATTTAACTTGTAATCTGTTTTCATCACAGATTGATATCAGTTAAGGTACCACTGTAAACCAAGGAACACTATACATAAGTTTCATTCCAATACAAGACACCTAATCAGCGCGCACTCACAAATTATTCAGGTATCGGACCCAGGGGCTTTAGATCTCTTGGTGAACGTTTAACCTTAGTGGGATTGTCAGCGCTTATTGCCTCGGAGTTCCAAACTAATATTTAACAGCTCTCTATTGCTTCCTAGTCCTTACTTGTGCCTCCGAGTGAGATCAATTCGTGACGAATATTATCTGCAAAGTTGAAAGATCACTTAAATAAGAAGTACAATCAATATGATAAAGCAAAGTATGTGAATAAAAAGAGTAATAGGAGAAATGCTATATTGGGTTAATTAATAATAGTAATATCAAGATATTATACGAAGAATGTTGTCAGGATAAGTATGGTAATGATGATAAGAGATTCAAATAAATTGGAAAACATGAATGTGCAAACTAAAATGGGATAGGTTATAAATAAACATAAAATAAAACTACGGGGTAAGAGTATATAGCCGTGGCATGTAGAAGGAATAAACGAATCGTCGGCCATGGTAAACGAAAGTTGGATATATCTCTTTCAAATACATAAGTTAGATTATCTGGAGTAGATCTCTATGACTTCAGCCATGTAAACGTGTACTTTTACCCCCTTATGGAAAATTATTTGGAGCTTGATGTAAATCTGTGATTTCTTCTGTTTATATGGTGTCCACCACCTACAGTGTGAGAAAAAGTAGTCTTATTAATAGATTTCGTTATTCCTTTTTTAAACTATCCCAGCCCATTTCCAAAAGCATATAAGGATCGGACCTTTTGAGAATTATGTTACTAGCTTCATAGTAGTTAGGATGGTACACACACATCTAGGTAAGACTCAAATTACTCAAGTTAAGCGTTCTTCCAATCAATCTTGTAAGTACCTCTTTTCAAATCAAGTTTTAGAATATGGTTTCTCTTCATAGGTGAATCTAATAGCAGGACGCATGTTATTGAAACTTCAATAGCTCGTGTTTATTGGCATTACTCTCCCACACATTAAGCACAGTTATCCATGTACAGATAATAGTATTGAAGTTTAGTAGTAATCGTAAAGCTTGACAATAAAATTTTGTTCAAATATTCCTAATTTTTGAATACTCTATGAGAGCTATTGAACAAGCAGAGTTAAGCACTATTTATCTTTCTCAAATCAGTCACAGTGCATACAATTACTTACTTATTGAACTGATCAAAATTATATTATCAACGCACTCTCGTGTAATGCAATATGCTTTACGAATCATAAAGTCTTTAATGTAATCAAAAGACTAAACGGTTGTACAAAGAGAATAAATAATAGCTCATAGTTGACAAATCAACTTTAAAAAATGCACGGCTTAGTTATCACTTAAATTTCTAGAACCCGTGAAACACCATGATTCCAATCAAATGTCAGCTATTTAATGATCTTTTTGACTATACATTTACAAAGATATTAACGATATCCAATAACAGATACGACCAAATAATCAATCATATGTTGTAGGAACACTAAATCGCTTATCTTAGAGATAAACGAAAATTTGATTACATTCATTCGGTACCATCGATTGCTACAATCTCAAACGAAGAATCAATTAAAAAATAACATCATAAACAAGCTAATCATATCTGCCTATTGCACAACTAACTGAACTCACTAAACAAAGTGTTAATTTGTTGGGACATCAGCAAACAGGATATTAGTTTTTTTTACAAATCTACCAGTAATAAGTAGACAGAGATATTTGCAATCTTTTTGTAGGTTTTGTTAACCTTCTAGATACAACTGAATTCCAGAAATTATTACTTCGTACATATTTATCTGTCAGCTACAATGTAGGACCAGGCACATATGTACATCAGCCCAAGTTGCCACACCTCATTAACACAACAAGATCAACACCAAATTCATAGAAGTAGTTAATTCAGTGGTGATAATATATAAAAGAAAGATTGTATATAAGGATATAGTACAGAGAGAAACAATTAGTTCGTAGAAAGAAAGATATGAAGCGATTTCAATCTCATAGTTTAAAGGAAAACAGAGAGTGGACGATTCTGAGCCATGTCACCCACAGTCTTCAATCATTGGTAGTATGCATCTACCAACATGGCTCAGACTAGGAGTTAGTAACTTCAAGCACTGATGCCACATTTTAGTTTGGCCGCCCCTAACTTTTTTCCAACCATCACCAACACTAGTCAGCATTGCGCGTCGTGGTAATCGGTGTTCAGGCATACGTAAGACGTGACCCAACCATCTCGGTCGATGGAGAATTACAACCTCATCAACTGATTTACCACCATCCCCTAATACATATTTAGTGGTAATATATAACCAACTCCATTTATTAGATGAATCTAACCAACTACATACAGAGGAACACAATTTTGTAGATTTTTCCCACTTATTCGAATATATTTTATGTACCTTGTACTAAAAAATGTCATGGTCACGATTCATAACGGAAATATATTTGATATGAATAGAGAAACAAAGAATTCATAACGAAAAACGGAAGTTATTCTTAGGGACACTAATTCACCTAATTGCAAGTTAATGGAATACTGACATTTAGTTTTGTCCGTGGTGATTCTATAAACGACAATTTTCAGTTGATGCATGATTTACTGACATACCCTTTTCTAGTCTAAATCTATTGTAATTTAAACGTAATCTTTTGTACTGCAGAAATTTTCTACCCTGGACATAATTATATTTTTATAATTATTTGTAAGTTATAGTTGTGCTAGTCATCTCTTTATTCGCGTATCTTTATACACTAATATGAATCGGGGTTAATCAGGAATAAATCGAGTACTGTTCCAGTTGACTCATCTTCTTACTCTTTTGTTAACCAATCAGATGAAAGAATAGTTTTCATCTCTCTACCCAAGATCATTAGTCTTAACTTGGATGTATATTTCTAGCTTCAAAGTTGAACTAGTTAATCTATAATGACAAGGCCTTCATCTAGATTAAGACAAGTTCTCTCCTGTATATTATCGAATAAATAGATAAAGGACATAACAATATAAAATGAATAATAATTTTATCACAAAAAGAAAACAACAATTTCAAAACTTGATCAAATCAACATAAAAGAATAATGTACAATGGAAATGTTCTTCGTTTTCCTTGAAAACAAAAACAAACAAACAAACAAACAAAGTCTTGGACAATTCTCATGAATATTATTACGTAAAATATTTTAAAGAATAAAAACAAAGAAAAAATTTAAATGATCTCATTCATGTTAATTATTAATTTTACAATAATATAACAAATGAATTTACTTAAAAGGTATTTTGAATAGATATGAAACAAAGTTTAGGAAAGATATTGGTTGATAATAATAATAATAATAATAATAATAATAATAATAATAATAATAATCTTTAATCAAATTTCTTTTGTATTATGTAACACTAGCGCTTGACAACAATTCCATTTTATATATTGATTCTTTTCATGATAACAACATAAAAGAAATTTTATATGATACATTTTATAGTAAATGTACACAGGAATAAACATTTATGAATGTCCCATAAACATATCATCATCATGATGATGATGATGAATATTACGTAACAAACAGCTGAATTTCAACAGGATATATATATATATATATATATATATATATATATATATATATATATATATATAATTTATAAACCACATAATGATTAGTTGTATATTACAAGAAATAAAACCTAACCATATAGATAACATGTAACACCTAAATACATTATGTATTTATGAGTGTTTAAATGTGCATTAAAATTTAAATTGAATAGTTATTTGATGTAAAGTAAACAAACAAATCCATGCAAGCCTATCAATGTTTAGAATTGGATGGGAGAATGCTGATGAACGGCCTATGCTCCTTCTCTTCCTCCTCCACGGGGAGTAACAAGCGTAAGTAAGTAAATCAATATTCATTGAATGTATTATAAATAGGCATAGATGTATATGTGTATGTAAATGTGTATTTTTGTTTAAATAATAAACAGAAAAGAGGAAATAAATAAACAAATAAATAGCAATTCTGTTGTTGTTGTGTTTTCTCTCTCTCTCTCTCTCTCTCATAAAGAACAAATTGAATTTAGCGTAAATTATATGCAAATGTTTCAGTTATAGTAGATGGTAATGGTTTAGGATTAATAACTTCACGTAAACGTTCATTATCCCAGATAGTTCGTTTATTATTGTTATCTGTGGAGTTGACAACAGTATTTATACCGATAGGATGATTAATATTACAATTATGATTGATATTAACAGATTTTGCAAAATAGCTTGGTGTTAATGATACTGATGATGACAGTGATAATGAGGAATTTTGTTTACCTGATGAATTATTACATTGGATATTTTGTTTATTATTATTGTCATTATTACTATTATTAGTGGTAGTAGTAGTAGTAGAAGTAAAAGGTTTAGACCAATTATCCACAGGTATATCATCTGTTTGATCTAATGACAATAAATCGAAATTGTTCAACGCGGCAGCAGAATATCTAACAAGAACACAAAATAAACATCATAAAATGTTAAAGGCATTTAGTGAAAATTAGCTTATAGGTCGCTTATTCAACAATCAATTAATATCTGAGACTATTAAATCTAGTCTTTTTAACCGTCATATCAAAAGCAAAACAAAATAATTATATTTGAATTATATGGAATTCAACTAGTAATCATAATAATGAGGCTCATTAGTCAATAGTTTCAAGAAGCGGTTTCCAATGTGTTTCTAGTGAGAAACCATGAAGCAGTTGACTACCAATCGGATTGGAAGATGGTTGAGTAAAATCGTGACATATTGACTCCATAATCTAACGTTTAAGGCCTCGCTAAGACTCCCGGAAGGTCCTCAGATTGAGTCTCGACAGGATTACAGAGGTGCATTGCTGAGTATTTCCATACTAGGATGAAACATTTGTCCAATGCTTCTCGATTTTCAATGGTTATCTAGTCAAAGTCAATCCATTATGTACATTATATAATTCCACAATCTCTACAAACCTTCAATTAGAAAGAGATAACCATTTAACAGGAAAACAATAACAGTTAACCTGCTAAAAACAATAGACCACAGGCTTAAAATCCGATTCAATTACTTCGATTTAGACAGACATGAACATCCCTAACTCTTATTTACACAAACAATATGGCTGAAAGTTGAGCACATAAACCGATAAATTAGGTGATTTCCACCTACGAAAAACATTTCTAAAATATAGACTTGGAGAAGACCATTATATACGCGGTTAGAGAGTATCTTTACTAATATAATAGTTAGGAGCAAGAGACGAATAAACTAACTCCATTTCAACGCAAATTTAATAGGAATTGCTTTCGTATTTGATAGTTAGACTTTGGTAACCTATAAGGTTATTGTGTGTAACATATAAAAAATAATAGTAGTCATACTGTAGTGAACAGAACACCAGTGGGGACAATCGAATGTACTTAAAAACAAATTACAGAGCATCTCAATAAAATCTGAGAACCATACATTAAATCGTTATTTTGCAAATTGTTCATCAATTGTCTCAAATGACTCAGAATCCCTTTGTTCTTGCATTTTTATACAAATTGCATTCTTTCTTCATTCTTTGTTGTTCGATCTTCTCGTCTCTCTGCTGCCGGATATTCTGTTCACGTCTCACGTCACATACTACTTATATCTACATAAGTAGCACACACCACAATACTTCCATAATGATCGGATTCAGTAAATATCTCATGTGGCTATAACAACAATCAACATGATGGAATTCTATTAATTAGGTAGCCGAGTGGTTGCTTAGTGATTAGGACGTTCAAATTCTGATTAGTATATAACAGGTTCGGACGACGCTCCACCCTACTTCTGTTTGAGAATCAGGCAGTATCACTGTAGCTCAAAGAAAACCATACATATCGATTGGTGGTGTTGTTTTCTGAGCTAGATACTTTAACTGAGGAGCTTTCATTGTTATTCTAGACATCATAAGAGCTTGGTTTACGTAGAGGTGAGGTGTTCAGTTATTCAACAAGTTTCGTATTAATGAAATCAGAAAGTGACGGAATCACTAAAAACGGCACATTTCGATAAGAATTAGCTGATAATAGGGCCCATAACGACGATAAAGGTTCCAACAATCAAACTATCCTTTAAGTAAAAACACATAACATCACTAAAAGTATTCATTTGAACAGCTAATCTTCTTCATTACACGTACCCAGTATCTGACAAATGAGTTTATAATAAATTGATTGATTATCCCTAGTTCAACTATAAACATTTGCATGTAATGTCTATAAAGTATTCCATCTGAAGAGGAAATTAGAAAAAGACATTGGAAGTGGATAGGACATACATTGTGGAAATCATCAAACTACATTGCAAAGCAAGCTCTAACTTGGAATCCTGAAGTGAAACACAAAAGAGGAAGGTCAAAGAATACATTACGTCGGGAATCAGAAGCATCAAAAGGATAAATAGCAGCTGGAAAAGATGATCCAAGTCAGAATTCAATGGAGAATGATGGTGGGTGGTCTATGATCCTCTATGAGGGTAATGAGCGTAAGTAAGTAAGTAAGTGTATAAGAGTAAGCCGTCATTGCTGGATTTAAACCATGTCGACTATAAAATAGTTAACCACCACAAGCGATAGAAAACGGTCGCATAAAATTTCAAATTGATTCAAGTTACACACATACAATACTAAACGCCGGTTCAGTGGTTTATAGATACTGGTTCTAATAGCCCACAACAGGGTCGTGGACCCCACCATCGATGATTCACACACAAGAATGAAACACTTTTTTAATGTGTTTTGGTTTATAATGGTTATCTAGCTAATATTCGTTTACAAACTAAGCTATGAAACGAATAATCCGGTTAAATTAAAATTAGATCATTTAGATAAACAAGTCCTATTTTTATTCCTTAAAATAATAGAGAAATAAAATATAAATTTGTTGGTCATCAGAAAATATCCAAAATAGAGAATTTATAAACTGAAAAGGATAAATAAGCGGATACACGAACATGAATTAATCGTAATTGGTTGACTGGATTGAAGACAAACAGACAATAATTGAAAGGAAATTATAAATGAACATCAGTTCTTCTGGTCATCTTTGTTGTTTGATCATTGATTTTCTTTTAAAATAATTATGTTAACTGGTACATTTATTGATAATGTCCAATGATGAATATATATCTATGTTGTTAACAAAATATGAGAATAAGGGAGAATGTTGAAGTTAAATGAAGGGCACTAAGTAAATATGGCAAACCAGTTGATGAGATAGTGAGTCTTTAACGATTGAGGTAGTTATAAAATAGATTACGTAAGCCTAACAACCACCTACCTTGGTGGACGATATTTACTGATGTGGTAAGTTTTTAAATTAAAGCTAGGAGTGGCCAAAGCAAGACATATTGTAAGCCTGAGAATCCATTGATTGGAGACTTTGGGTGATGTAACCCAGATGCAATCACTTTATGTGTTTCCTTAGACTGTGGGTTGATAAAAATATTTGTTGCGCTTTTTTAAGCGATGTGATAACTTGAGTTGAAACATATATGTACCACATCCTATGCTGTTGATGAGACTAACTCACTGACTGATAGGCTATTGTATTACAGTATCATATACTAAAGGAGAGCCCGAAAACGTACCATATACGGATGAGATCAAAATCTGGTGGTTGACAGACATGGAATTATCATCAGAGAATCACAGCTTGACTATTACTAACTGACAAGCAGCCTGATAACACTTTTTTTAAAGATGACCACATAGACCAAAATGAAAAAATTACAGGCGGACTAATGAAGAATTAACCAGTGTAAACTACTAATAATAATAATATGACAAGAGTTTATAAACAGTAATATCAGTTGCACAATCGATGGGATGATGTAATCCAATGACATTATTTATAATTCCCTAGAGTAGCTGAATAATTGATAGAAATAGAATTCAGGATATGCGTCCCATCTTATTAAGGACTAGTCAGCTAGCTCGACGTATCTGTACCCCAATGTTAATATTCATACTGACAATCGAACCCAGTATGTACCTGCCACCTTACACGCCAAGACCTGTCGTCCAAATAACCACTAACTTATTCAATAAATATGAGGTTTTTGTAATAATTTATTTACAAAGAAAAAACTTCTATCAACAGATAAGATAGTCGATTTAAAACTTTAAAAAACTTACTTAACAACCGATTTCAAGAATTGAGTAGCAGCTCCTAATGGTGAAGATGAAAGTGAACAGATTGATGATTGAGGTGAGAAATCTGAAGAGGGACTTGATCGATTTGGGCTATTATCACCAGATGATCCAACGAGTGATTCTCTTTTTAACGCCGTTGGTATTGTTGTTGCTGTTAACGGTGGTGATGATGATGAAATTGTGAAGCGACCACTTGTTACACCAACAAGTGATGTTGCTATTAACGGAAAGGAATCATAATGTTGTGATATATTTTCAGGACTGGGTTCAGATGATAATGATGATGATGAAGAATTAGAAGATAAACTTTCTTGTTTACGACGTGTATTCCCCAGTGAACTACCCAAATTGAACCATGATTGAAAAGCTGAACTATCATCCATATTTAGTAAAACATTCTGAACAGTTGTATGATGTGGATGAAATGTTTTTGGAAAAGATGACTGGTAATAAAGAGGAGAGAAAAACGAAAGTTAATAGCATCTCCATTAGCAACTCTTAATAATTAAACTATTTAGAATGCAATCAATTGACGTCTAGGATTTTATAAGAATGAAGCTAAAAAACACCCAAACTTATATATATAGTGTTTTAATTACATGTCCCAATGAACTTGTTATACTTCACTCGTTCACCAGGTACACATTCACTTACTTAGCTTCAGGACACTAAGCGTTAGGGTGCAAACCAATATAGGTAGAATGTAGTTATAAACCATGCGACTTAGTGGTTGAAAGTTAAACGCCATGACGTCCGGTGGTAGGACTCGAACCCCCGATTACCTGAGAAGCTGACTGGGTCAAAAACTGAGATATACAAGAAGTGTAACTACAAACCGAATACACTTGGTGAGTTTTATCTCATGGGAGGGTGGTAGCGTATTAATAAAAGTGTTCAGCTTTCAATCAATAGCATTACAGCTCAACTCATGCCCTATCTACCAAGGTTTGGGTAGCTGGGTAGTTCCAAACATGACGTGACCCAAGTCCGAATATGTAAACGTGTTAAGACCACAAAATTCTAGCTCAAAGACGACAATAAAAAGAACCTGTGATAAAATGTATTTTTAAAATATCTAACATCTTCAAAGCCATCTTCAACTAACTTATATTAATTACTAAATAATACATTTATCGGTAAAAATGGAACAAGAAAGATGTATATATCTATGTTTAGTAGTCAGACAATAGCTATTCATCATTACTTCTTTCCAATAATCTATCTAATACAAGTACTAGTAGCGGGATTCATTAAAATATGTTGTTGGCAAAAAAAAATATCATATTCTTTGGAATAAAAAAATTTATTATAATTTTCTAAGGGTGACTTTCATTGTTGTATGTAGAAATTTCATAACAAATTCAAATATCAAACATAACTATTCATGAAATTCTTGTCAGAAAGAAAGATTAGACAAAATAAGATTATATAGTCGTATGACTTTATGTTACACACTACACGTAGATTGAAAGTATACTTAAAATGATAAACAAAATATTGTAGCCTTGAAAAAAAAGGATTTTTGTAAAACAAAAACCTCGATACTTTGATCAATATTACAGCTTGGGCTTCTCTATTGATGGGAATTAGTCAAAATTTAACATGACGGTATTTGATAACATTTTAACTTCTGATTATTATCTTTATTATCACTGCTGTGAAACTGCTCGCTTAGAACTGAAAAGGAGATCGAATAGAATACACTGACTAGTAATTAGTTGGAAAGTGTAGCAATAGTTCAGTGGTTAAGGTACTTGACTTTCAGTCAGTGAATCATATGTCTGAACCCAGCTTCATCTAACTTTGGTCTAAGTAACCAGGTAGTATAGTTAGCCCTCACACTTAAAGTGTGATTTAAACCTAAGAACATGAATTCGTATCTGGGGTAACGAATGAATGACAATGTTACTGTCCTTATTTTCAATACTATGGTAACGAATTCCTCGAATTTTAGAAAGAGTTGAACGCATCCAAAAGCTGTTTTAACTGTAATAACTACAGTTGAAGACATTGGATAAAAGTCAAAAATTAGTTAAAGTAGCACAATCGCATTTATGCTTTATCTTCCTCTAAAGTACTGAGCTTAGTACCAATATATGCTCCTGTACATCAATTTTTCATCCCAAAACATATGACTATTGCCTTTTCTCATCTTGTTAATTCATACTATTGCTGTACTGATAATGTGTGTTATGTCAACTTAAGGCGATAAACAGCTGTAGTATGTTGTCCTATACCTTACCCGAGGTTGACCCATTGACTGGTAGTCTGATAAAACATAGTACTGAACAATAAAAAACCAAAACATCAGAAAGTACATTTGGTCTTTGAGCCTAACCCACGCGTATCACATTACGTTTTGTTTTATTGAAACTTTGTGCAATAATAGTCTAGAATGATACGACAGGAAAACAAACATATCAGCATCGAATTGTTATTGTCCATTTTCATGAAATCGAAGTCAAAATTTCTTTTTTATTTATTAAAATAACCTAGTCAAATGTCTTAGTAACCTAGATACATTAGCTATGAATAAAGCAACCAATGAAAATACAGCGTACAAGGTCATAGTCAGCAATGTATAAATACGACAATTAAGTAATCAAAAATAATATAAAATAGACAGCGACAAAATATTCTAGTCATGTGATGATTGGCTAACAATGTGAGTCACCTGATTCTAAAACAGTGGTAATATATAAAAGAGATGAACACATGATAAGAGGGTTGTTAAACGAATATAATTTACATGAAATGATAACGAAAAAATGTTCAGATCAATTATCATGGTATGAGAGGTAGATAGAAGTAAAACTTCTACTTTAAAATCTGCGTAGTCATACAAACTGTCGATTAGGTGTGTCAAGATAGAGCTACGTATTGTCTTTGTCTGACATTATCGAAACCAAGCTGGGAGATGTACACTCATTCTTTGGTTAAGTTGCCTGGTAGTACAACTAATATAGCTATCGCTACGGGAGCAGCTGAATTTTAAGATGAGCATTAAGGAGATAAACTCAAGTAACTTATCCTGATCTACTAAAAAATGTCAACGCAAGGTTGGCTGTATAAAATATCCTATTAACTGCTCTAGATAGTTTATCATGCGGGACTAAAAAACAAATCAAGATCCATTATAAACAAAGATGGATGATGACTACCATTTGAATCCAGGTCGTGCGTTTCATCATACTAGAGACTCGCCGGCTGGATATACTCAGAGTTAATGTTCACTCCGAGACTCGAACCCAATACTGAGTGCGTTATTCACTTAGCTTGCGAGTCCATATAGCCCCTAACTTATGCTATGCATTGAATTTTAAGTCATTTGTATTGCTTGTTTGAATCTCCCCACAGATGTTGAGGACTGTTAGCCACCATCCATCTCCGCTTATAGTGCTCGTAACTCAATAGAAATATCGAGACAATCCTTTTTGGAATTTTGTTCCCTGAGTTGGATGGTTTGGTCGTAGAGCTTTCATCGTTATTCTGAACGACATCATTAGCACAAACTTCAGGTAGAAGTGAAGAGTTCGAATTTCTCCGCACAGAATGTAAATACGCCAATAAGACTGATCAATTGCAGTCCTTAACATATTAATAGGAAGATTCAAACAACCAATAAATGATGAATTAAGTCAAGGTCCTCCAGACAATCTAATTCCATCGAAATAATCATAAGAAAATGAATTACTCACCTCTAAATTTGATGTCAGTAACAGCTTTGAGTCGAATAAACTTGGTTCTATTGTCGATTGATTGTTATTTCGTAAAAATTGTAATAAAGCATGTAGAATTGAACTGTCACCTTGTGATAGTTGAGTTGTACATTTCTTATCTTGATGTTCATCAGTAGTAGGATTAGATGGAATAGCTTCAACTTCGACATATTCTAAAATAATAGAATATAAATAAACTATTAGTAATTGCTTGTACGGTTGTGACTAACTCAGTGATCTGGAAATCAAAGCTGGTTAGTCACTGAGTAATGACCAATGTCAAATTTACCTAGTCCTCTTGGCAATGATCAGATTCTACCTATCGAGTTGCAGTTTGACCACTGGTCTAAATAACTCAACATCGTGAGCACTAATTCAGATGTTAGGTCAATGAAATTTAATCAATGCTAAAAGACTACACAATAACGACAGTGATCATTACTCAGTGATCAATCACTTGTAAATATCTTGTCATGGTACAAATCTCTAAGTGGCAATATCTCAGACTGTGTAATACAGTGACATGAACTAAAATCCGCGAGAGAGCATCGCATCCCCCAAGTTTACAGGCACACCTTATTGACGATTAAAAAATAGCATGAAACGTATATCAAGAGTTTCTTGTCGACTACTTTCAACCACTTAATATCTCAAGATATAGGCTCACATTTCAACCTCAAGGCTACAGTTTGAGAGTTCAATTTTATAACTTTTGCCACACATACTGATAAACTGAATACAAGTTTAATTCATAGTTTAACGTAAGATTCAGTTGCTCCATTTTAATATGAGTGTGTTGACCTGCAAAATACAATCCTATTTGAGAATTTGACAATACTGTTCCCTAGTTAATCATTATAATGATATAATAGTTGATAATCGAATGTTAAAACGAATGAATTATAGATATTTAGCTTCTTACAAAAATAAGAAAAACTTGACATTTATAAAACTTTCAATGACTACAGCGAATATATATAAATTACATATAAGAAGGCTAATAACTTTTCTACATGAAACTCTAAAATCTAGTCAAGTAATTGACTATAACAGGCTACTGTCTAACTGGTAATCAGTCGTATTTTAAGACTATTGTCCATGTGGCGTCAGAGATATGAATCAAGATCAAAAGATAACCACTTTGCTATAAATAGTTGCAGTTAAAAAACTGTAGATATTTGAGAGTTCTATAACAATTAATGTGCCAGTATTATATTTCAGATTTTGGACAGGAAATATACACTAAATAACTAACGCATGATGTATATCCATCGACAAGAGTGATCATATTTGTTCATGGGACTCAAATTTAACTAGTGTCAAGCACAAGCACATACTTTGATTTGAGATATACCCTACTTGTATGACAGCTAACTACGCTGCCACGCTGCTTAAACCGGTTCAGATGGAGTGAGATTCCAACATGGATATTATTGATTGAAAGTCAGGTCCTTTAAACACTAATCCATAGCTCTAGTAAAGTGGAAGAAGTCTTGTAGTGATGAACGTCAACTACTTAATTTAAAATCAGTTTAGAACAAGATGAACAAATAATTACTAAATAATATTCAATAAACTTAAATGTCACATAATTCACTATCGACTAAACGACAGTCTTCAAGTACAATTTGTTCAACCTGGCGCATTAACTATGATACTGATATACCGAGAACAAAAGAATATTATTATTTTGAAAGACTTCTAGCTAAAACAATACTCTATATGACTGACTGACTGACTACTACTACTACTACTACTACTACTACTACTACTACTACTACTACTACTACTACTACTACTACTATCACTATATAGATCCATATTAGTAAAATATTCACTGTTATAACATGATATAATGTGTTTCTTGTTGGAAGCAATCAATTAGAATAATTTGATTTTCAACTGTTCAATATGAAAAATCGACCAATTAAAGTTTAACATAAACAATAAACAAATAGAACTAGTTTACGGAAATGTGTGGAGCTTTATTACTACTCCATAAACAAAGAACAATCGATACATTAAACTGTTTGGAATAATGAAAAAATTTTTTACTTTAAATTTCCATTTTGTGTTAAACATATGACTTTAGAAACAGATCACTTGAAACTTAAACGAGTTTTTAATGTAAACTTTTATCATAATTGGATAGCAGTCAGAAGTGAATTTAGGAAAACACGTTTTACCTAATCTAGGACTCGTCAGTTAACTGGATGTAACCTCATCCTAGTGTTGATGTTTACATAAATATTCAAACTAATACTTTACGCTTCAAATCCTAATGGATTATCTGTTGAGCTACTAATTTTTAGTAGCCATCAACTTATTTAATAGATACGATGTTTATATTACTCTTGGTGATAATAATGCAAAACTCCAAAGTGTTACAGTTTGATAACTAGCTCTTTCAAATATGAGCAAATTGAAATATTAATTGAGGAAATTTATTTGCAGAATAAAAGTATTGAATGTCAACTTCCATTAACTCTGTTCATATCCATCCAAGATGCATATGGAAAAATCATGCAACAGGCATCAATAATTATATTGAGCAGAAAAAAATGTTATAGAGTTCATGAAAACTACTAAACGCCATAGATCGACACGTAGATAACCACTTTACATTGATTTAATGGACAGTCTGGAATATTCCTGGATGCTATAATCATGCTAGGTGAGACGAGAATTTCGAAACATATAGTTTAACTCGTTACATCATTGAAAAATAGGAACGAAAACATAATATCCAATGGTTGTGGATGTCAAAAAAATTGGCTTAACCAACCAATAATATATTGACAACCCAATTAATTCATAAGTGCTTTGAATATAGTGCAAATACATGTAAGTCAGTTGCAACGTAGGACCAGGCACATATATACATCGGTCCAAGTTGCCACACCTCATTTACACAACAAGATGAACACCGGATTCATAGAAGTAGTTAATTCAGTGGTGGTAATATATAGAAGAAAGATTACATATAAGGAGATAGTACAGGAAGAAAGAATTAGTTCGTAGAAAGAAAGACATGAAGTGATTTTAATCTCTTAGTTGCTCAGTGCTACTAAAAGACTCTGCATTTTATCAGCGTCTTCACCAAACAGGACTATGTCATCTGCGTATTCTAAGTCAATAAGTGGACCTCCTGGTAGGAGATCAATACCCGAGAATTCAGTCGATGAGAGAGTTATTTCCATCAGTAGATCTATGATGAAGTTAATCAAAAATGAAGAAAGTGGACAGTCTTGACGGACACCACTTGAGGTTGCAAAAGCAGATGACAGTTCGCCATAAGCTCTGACTCGACTAGTAGTGTTCGAGTAAAGAGCCTTCACAAGGTTTATGTACTTCTGAGGTACGCCTTTCAATGACAGACACTGTCACAGAACCTCTCGGTCTACAAAGTCAAATGCTGCTTTTAAGTCAAGGAAAACCACCAATGTCGGACGCCGATAAATATGCCAGTATTCTAGAACCTGACGAATGGTGAATATGTGGTCTATGCATCCACGACCAGGTCTGAAGCCAGCTTGACTCTCTCGTGTTTGTAGTTCACGAGTCTTACTTAGGCGTCCCAAAATTATCGAGGCTAGTATTTTCGATGCTATATTAGTCAAACTAATCCCTCTATGGATGTCACAGGATGATTTTGACCCTTTCTTAAATATTGGGACGATAAGTGATTGTGACCAGTTAGGTGGGATAACGTCTAACTCCCAGATTTTAGCTAAAATATTAGTCAACCTAATCGCTAAAACTAGACCACCATCCTTAAAGACCTCTGGGGCCAAACCATCTGGACCAGCTGCCCTTCCTCGTTTCAGATTAACTATAGCCTTTTGAACTTCAGCTAGAGTTGGGGGACCTACTTCAATGTTCCATTCACAATGTCTGGGAATGGAGGGTAGTTGTAGAGTAGCTGAAGGCCAACTGAACTGTTCTCTAAAATGTTCCGCCCATCGTTCTAAACGTCTGGACTGGGAGCAGATGAGAGTGTCGTTTTTTTCCGAGATAGTCTGACTTACACTTGACTTATTAATTGCGGTCACGCTGTCAGGTCACTAAGACCACCTCTAATCCAATTTCCTTTTCAGGTACCTCCAAAAGAACCCTTCCACGGTGTGAGCAACCGGGAAGTGATAACCGCCCTCATACCTCTAACAGCACTCAAGACCACTGCAAATACATGAGATTACATTATATTCAGAAGCGATGAAATTTATTTGTTCAACCTCACCTTTAGTGGAATTGAAATCTGATAATGTAAGTGACTGTGTATTTGAACTGCTTTTCATCCAGTTGTCTATATCAGTGAAATCTTCATGAACTGATGGAGTGCTATCGGTTTCCGGTAAACTAAGAATATCTGATTCACAGTTCTAAATAAAGATAAAATGAAACTATTTAGGTCATTAAATAACAACGAAATAAGTGATGTGAAATTTTGGTACTATTTAAACACATGTTTAAATAGCCTACATAACAATGTAAACAGATGGTCTAATGAATTAAGCACTCGATATTCAACTAATTGACAAGAAATCTAGACCTGGTTCTGTTTTATTTACCCTGACTAACCGGCTAGTACCATTATCCCTCATAAGAAAGAGTAGTTTAAAGCCGAGTATATGAACTTGCATGTAGCATGTGAGTTACACAGTAGTAATCTATATAAAAACTAGTTTTATACATAATTTTACGATAAGCCGTCAGTCGTAGTATTTTATCACTATGCAAGTGGAAAATGGCGATTGTCGAAACAATGCAGCAGATTTATACTAATAATTGATAAGTACTTCTACTCAAAAACCATGTACGCAGCAGTCAATACTGAAGTGTATGGGAAAATAATTACAACCTACAAACGGGAATATAAATAGTGAAGATGGTTTATACTTAAAATGGGATCAATAATTCGAGTGCCTAGATTACACAATATATCATTAGTAGTGTCAATCAGTCATTAACACAATCAACATTATTGACCTTTAAAACTTCTCGAACAATAAACACATTATAACAACTAGAAACTGGTAACAGATAAATGTAACACATGAGCTAACAATGTGTGATACGATCAATAAACAATAGCAAGGGAAAAAGATCCATGCATATAAACATACAAATAACGTCATATACATGTTTATAAATAATTGTATACATACATATATCTCTAACATACTAGGTTCTGAGACACTTATCTGCAAACTCAATTGAGTATCTTGAAATTTTATACTGCGCAACACTTCCTCTGGAAATATAATCATTCTCTAAACATAAATTTTTTAAAGGTTGTACTTAAAACAACTAGAAACGTCCCGGATCGCAGCTTCATAACTGTTGGGACTCCACTTACAAAATCATGATGTACTAAGATACTTCAAACCAATATGAATATTTCTCACTACATTAAATTTCACCTTTCTAATCTTTTTGACCATAAAAGCAAACCACCATTGTTACACTTGCTGCAGAAATATTGTATATTAAATGTACTCAAGATGTCGAAACTAACGTCCCCAAACTAAAACATAAGTGCGTTAAGTAAACAACAGAATAAGTTTCTATTTTTCATATAGTGTGGAGGTCTACCACACGTACACAGGATCGAGCATAAAAAACTGAAATGAGATAAATCGGTGCCTACCTTGTAAGTAGTATTAGCTTTGCCTTCCAGAAAATGTCAAATAAGATGATTACCCGCCGTCATCTTTGGTCAACTATCTCAATATATATGACAAATCTTTGCACTATATTGTCAAGAAATATAATCCTTACAGTTTTCGCTACCAATCATTATTTATGCGTTGAAGATAAACCAAGAGTCAAATGCAAACAGATCTATGTATATGCTTGAAACTTATCTATTTCACATTGCATGCATTATTATTTTATTTAATTACATGCGTTAATCAGCCTTTTAAAGGATGTTACTCCAACTTTTTCAAATCTAACTTATGTTACACTTTACCACGAAGTAGAACAGTCAAGAATCTTCGAGTTGAGCGACCGCGTTTACTAGAGCTCATAAAAAAGCTACCTGGAAATCCCTCGAAGTGCAAGGGTACTTCAGTTTTCTTAACAAAGGTGACTAAACAATGATACCATATGTACAAGGCCATTTTGTACCATCTCCACCTTTCTGAACTTATTTTTTAATTTAACCAGTAACTGATCAACATTATAGTTGCTAATGAAACAGCAAAAGAAACTAAATAATCTTTGGTAGGGACATTTTCAAAGAGTGAGAAACCGTAACGTAACGACAATAATACCAATCATCAAGGAGTACGTTCAGCCTGGCACCACGATCTATACCGATGATTGGAAAGCGTATAGATGCCTCGCGAGACTTGGTTTTGTGCATCATGTTGTAGTGCACAAACGTCATTTTGTCGATCCAACGACAATATTGAGGGCATGTGGTCTAGGCTGAAGAATTTCTAAGACCCTACCACGTCTCTAGAGGACGATTATTATGGAGCCACATGGACGAGTTCCTATACCGCATGCATTATGATTTCAAAACTTCTGAACCTTTATCAAACCTTAAAAAGTTCTTAAATCATGTAAAAGAAGAATATCCATTGTAATTCATCAGTTTTTTATAATATATTTTTACTTTATACTAACTCTCTTCTGATTGACTCATGTTCTCAAGGTCACTTAAACATATGTTCAAAAGGTCATCCATAAAATAGAGTTTTATCTAATCTTTAGTTTATACAACTTAATCTTTTTCAAATGACTACCTAGTACGATTTCTAATAACAATTTAGTATATGGAAAGTAGCCGTACTTCATTAAGTGCCTAACAATCTGTGTTATATGAGCAACAAAAGTATACTTATTAACAGTAGATGAACAACTACAAATTATTGTGAAGCAAATAGATGATACCGAATTTCGCCACCAAAACTAGGTCAAAAGAGGAATACTGACTTACTTCTAAATTGGATACATCTTCAGATGATAACAACCTGAGTGTTGGTATAAATGAATGTTCCCCAAATTCTGTGCACTTTGTAGCTAAAGGAGATTTTGCTTTACACTTGATACAAACGTAGCAATTTTTGCACAGCCTATGAGAATAAACGACGATTTATATGCATTAACTTACAAGCATTGCAGGAACCCATCAGACAATAAGTCGCCACAATTGGCACAGACGATAAGACAGTTTGATTGTGGTTGACTTGAAGGATCGTGCTCCATTTCAGATTCAGAATTACTCAGGATATCCCATGAATCTCCAGAGTCGTTAGACAGGCATTCAATAGATTCATCCCCCATTTCGCAGATTATGCAGCTCCAATAAACTCCTGCAACATAAACAGCTGATTAGAGATCCGTCTAACTACCCTCCTTCAAAATGCTCGATATTCAATCTCGTTGTCAATGACTTATATAAACAAACTGATTTATTTGCTCTAATTTCTTGTTGTTTTAGTACGTCTTCAGGTGTTTAGTACGGCCTGATAATTGATATTCCAGCTACTCGACTACACTAATTCCAGTCAGGCAGGTTGTTAATTGTGAATTTGTACATCTGTGATGGACCAAAATATTTCAGTTTCAGTTTCAGTTTGGAAAGGACAGGAGGCTTGATGGCCTGTGTTAGTCCTGGCAATGGTGTTCTCTCAGTTGATCCAACTTTCTTTTGAAATAATCTACGGATGGAGCTTCAACCACGTGTTGCGGTAATGAATTCCACTCGTTGATGATTCGGTGGGAAAGTCGATAATCAACTGACAAGTAATTTGTTCTGGGCTTGTGAACCATTTTGGAGTGCCCTCGTAAATTCTCTGTTTTGGAAGACAAGAAAAATGAGGGTATATCATGTGCAAATTTATCACTAAGCAATTTGAAAACTGTAATCAAGTCGTCTCTAGTTCTACGATATGACAAAGGGAATAGGTTTAGCTTGGTCAGTCGAGCATCATACGGAAGCTTCACTATCCCGGGAATCAGCTTAATTACTGTTCTGTGGACCTTTTTCAAGAGCTAACTGTCTTTTTTGAGCAGGAGTTAGCCGCTTGTATGCCGTACTCAAGTTTACGACGTACGAACACTGTATACAAAGTCAAAAACGTTTGAGCGTCGACATGAGTAAAAGCCCTACGCATTGACCATAGAGTTCTAAAAGCTTTGGCGGCTATTGCACGGCAGTGTGCAGTAGTCCTCAGATCTTGGCTAACGATGACTTCCAAGTCATTATGTGTCTGGACAACAGGTAGCTCAGTGTTATTCGTCGTGTATGTATCTGAACCTTGATGACTGATATGCATCACAACACACTTGGAAGTATTTATCGTCAGCTGCCAGGTATGGGACCATTCATACAATTTCTTCAGGTCATTTTGGAGTTCTAAGCATCACCCTTACATCGTATCGTTCTCCATATATTGACATCGTCAGCATATAGCAAGACCGATGATGATTATAGGCGAGGAAGGTCATTTTCATACAAGAGGAATAGCACTGACCCCAAAACTGTACCCTGGGGCACTCCACTAAGTACCGTTTCCCAGCTAGATAACTTTGAGTTCACTCATACTCTTTGTTGGCACCCAACTACGAAGTCCTCTATCCACATCAATAGATTGCCTCCAATTCCGACATTTTTTAGCTTATATAACAGCCGGTTGTGCGGAACTTTGTCAAAAGCTTTGCTGAAATCAATGTAGGCTACGTCTACAGGTAACTATTGGTCTTTGAGAGCGCACCAGCTCTCACGAGCGACTAATAAGTTAGTAAGACAAGAATAACCCATTCTGAAACAGTGCTGCTTCTGTGAAAGGATCCGGTTTACATCGAGATACTCAAATAGCTCCTTCCGAATAATCTTTTCTAAGATTTTAGCAACCACATTAGTTAGGCTAACGAGTCGGTAATTCTCAGGTTTATGTTTCGTACCTGTTTTGAAGACAGGACTTACTGTGGCGTTCTTCCAGTCTTTTGGTAAACGACCCTGCGTTACGGATAGCTTAAAGCATATACTTAAAAGGTTCGCAACGAAGTTAGATAATTCCTATAGAAGCCTAGGATGCAATTCATTGGGTTCCGTGGATTTACCTATGTCAAACTTATTTAGCAGACCAAAGACATCGAGTTCTTTAATGGTCATGCTATCCAGTGTATGTGTGGGGGTTTGGTATGTGCTGACGGGAAGGGTGCTTCTATGGTATATAGATTGCTAAAGTAGTTTGAGAACACTTAAGCCTTACCAAAGTCATCTTCCACTAATGATGTAGCAGTACTGTCCCTCCATAGTGCAGGAATATTTCCTCTTCTTTTTGTCCTTTGGTTTATATAGGAATAAAAACGTTTACGACATTCTATGGGTTCCTTAACAATTTTTTGTTCGTGCAGCTTTCTAGACTTACGGGGGGTCGAGGCACAGGTATTCCTAGCTTTTTGATACTGAGATTTTGTATCAACATGTTGCTAAATTATAGTGAGATGCTGTCTTTACTTCTAAAAAATGTCGATTTTTCTCCCAGAAAGTGACTTGGACTAGCTCAGCCAACGGATAATTTCGGCATTTGACTACTCTTAGTTAACGTAAGACTTTAGATAATATTTTATCAACACTCCTAGGTCTTTTTTAACTCGGAAGACCTCTATTGGGGAGTTACCTAAGTTGTATTCGCAGCCCATAACATGTGTCAGTTGGACTAGTTTATACTTTGGAGTGTTGTTGTTGTCCGCTCAACTTTGAACTAGTGTCAGATCCTCCTAAAGTACAAGTTTATCATCTTGTTTACACGCTTCTCTCCAGAGTTTCACATCACCAGCGAAAAGTGACAAATCTAACGATACCTGCTGAGGAAGGTCGTTTACATAAATCAAGAAAAAGAGAGGTCCTAGTACTGAACCCTGAAGGACCCCACCAAGACATTCTGGAGCCTGAAAAAAGTGAAATTTACAATGGCTTTGAAAGCTGATTTTTAGATATGAATTCAATCAATTATCGGTGACTTGATACCTAGTTGTTTGGACTTATTGATAACACATATATGAATGACCCTATCGAAAGTTTTTGGGAAGTCAAGGTATATGACATCGACCATCCCCATGCGGTCAAGGTTGGTTGTCCATCTATCCACCGCGGTCAGAAGTTTGGTTATACAACATTGACCCTTCCTGAAACCGTGCTGTCGGTTTGAAGAGAAGTTTATGGATAACAAGCAGTCACGTGGATCGCCGCATATCAGGGACTTCATTTCTGTAGATCGTATTCGTTGGGGACGATAGACCCCCAAAACTCATATTTTGCAATTTTATCCTTGTGGAGTTTGTATGTAGATGTATGCGCGGGCATTTCTTACCACCCACGCACGTAGTCGATTGACGAACTTATCGAATAAATGTTTAGAAGCTCCATGACAATATCGATCATATATATTTGTATATGTACGTATTAAATTGTTTTTGGTGATCGCCCGTTTTTTGGCTGTTGAAGAATATACTTCCCTTTCTAAGCGTGGACTTCTCCTTCTAGATGGCTGGGCTGGGACGCATCACTACCTAGCTTACTGGTCTTTGGTCACCGAGTCTTGTTTCTCGTTCGTAGATTAAATAAATCCGTGATAGCTCCAAAACTTAGCAGTATTGAAAGGAGTGCTACCGGCCGGTAGCTTAAAGGTTCACGACGTTGACCTCCTTTGAAGATTGCTGTAATCTGAGTAGGCTTCCAATTCTCTGTAACCGTACCTCGGTTTAGCGAATGTGAGAACATAACGCCAAGTGGTTTTGCGCCATCTAATACTAGAGCCCGTTTTTTATTATATTTGCGGATTGGTACTTTATTTGTCTGAACTGTCTGTATGTACTGTTGTCACTAGTTTGTTTACATTCAACCTAGTAGTGCTTTTTGCGTATTAACATTCGAAATGTGTGATTCTTGATGACTGTACGTTGCTTGTAATGTTTGGAGACTGATTGCATGACAGACTGTTTTGTAGCACATAAGATAGTGTTCAGCAAGAAATCCAAATCCGCATCATGTTGATGCTGATTCTTTTAGTCCACCTACTGTATACTAACCTGTAAATGCGACACATCCGACAGTTGTAATTCCAAAACTTGTTTTTAGCAGTGTTTCAGCCTAGTTTTGCTGATAAAATTGAAGGCTTAAACGGCATGATCAATTTTTTGCAGAGGAACCATGATTGAGAGGTTGTCAATAAGTAATTCGCCGTTAGTAAATACGCAATCTAAGCGAGACGACGTCCGATTATTTTATGTAACATCATGTGGCCTGTCCAGGTACATCTGAATTCCAGTTGTTAGCCGACTTCTGTTAGCACGAAATGATTCGAGAACAACTATATTAATTAGCCACGGCTTAGGATCATCGCCATTTTTGACTGGTTGCACCACTTGTTGATTTACTATGTCCTTAAGCACCGAGAACGGCTTTATAAATTTTCACTCTAGAATATGGTAGTCCGCATAGTCATGGTTTGCGTTTTTCTAGGACACCTTGCACAACGATATTTCTTCCGCGACAGAACGTTTCTCAAGATTCCTTAGGGATATTCCTGATGGGATTTGACTCAGAATATGGTATATCAGGCAGTATTCTTACACCGCCTTCCGATTTCACCAAGTGACTGGTCAGCAGAACATCCCCAAAATCAGTAGTAATACCGGACTCTACACGAGGGAGTCTTTAGTGATTTTAGTGTTTGGAATCCTCCGGGTTAGCTGTGAAACCATAAGTAACTCAGTTTCAGGAAGTTTTATGCTTCCTGTTCAACTCTTTTCAGATCATCCTGTCATATTTGTTCTACAAACAGAGGGAAAAACAGAACTTTCATCAGGGTTCATGATTAATAGAGAATCATCTCGAACCGTATTTGATTTCTCAAGTTTTCAGGTACATTCGGGTCGAGGTCCTTTTTCGTTTGACAGTTGAATAACATTTTGGATTCATATGAACTTTGCTGACTGGTTGGGCAATCTTAAATGCACATCGCACGGCAATTGCACTAGCTGATTTTTCTATCAGATCTGGGATGACCGGCATTTTTGATGGTGATACTCGATCCCTTTTAACCCTATTGGTAGTGGCCTAGTCACCCACAGAAGCTAAACGTTCGCACTCGAGACCAAAGGCCTGAGTTTGCTGAGAGCGTTACATACTGTCAGTTTTATGGCGGTGTTGCGTTTCAGCATGTCATCACTAATGTCAGTGAGTTGCACACCGATACTAATTTTGCTGAAGACCCTCTTTTTTGCTTCATTGCGCGTCTTTATTTATCGTTTCAGGACTGCCTTTTTCAGGGTTGTTGAGAGATTTTTTCGAAAACCTGTCAAAAGAACGATGATATTGCTCAGCAAATCCTAAGCATTCATGCTGCGTGTGCCACATAACCACCTCCTATGGAATTTACTAAGTATGTTGTAAGCAGATGCCGTAGGATCTGTACATACTTCGTGAAATCAACCTTTGTATTTGCCGCACTGAATTTTACAGGTGACGGCAAAACGGCATCCACTTCGCCTGTGTGAGTTCTGTATGATCATGGTGAAATATGAGTTGTTAGATAGATACTAGCAAAAGTTTACGATCTCAAAGAAAATCAGTATGAAAATGAGGATTTGGGGGATTATAGTATTTTAACGGTTGAGTTCACGAGTCTGTATGAGCCAAACCTCCATTGAAAACCTAGGAGCACTGGACGGCCGTTTCGTCCAACAGTGTTAATAATGGCTCAAAGGCTTATAAGTTAAGCGTTCGCGATCCATGGAAGTGTATATGTTATCAAATATCTTTACGCCATCTATTAAGTGAACAGTGGTCACTTCTGCTGGGAGAGCAGTCCAAGTGAGGGCAACTTAATGAAAAATATTGAGAACGTACCTGTGTGTTTGCTCTTTAAATTGCAATCTTTTGATGGTCGCCTTGAGGAGCTTCGTGATGATATTCTGGCAGCATACTCGTGAATTTTGTGGTTTAGTGAACTTAATATATTGTATGTTATTGTAAGATCACCTCTTATAATCGTATAACTCGACTTGACTAATAACAGTTGTTGAAGTCTGATTTCGGAAGATTTGTGTTTTAGCCCTAACACTCACTTGGTCGCCTTAGTGTGATTATGGTCTGGGTTCGTATTAGTACACTTACAATTCTGTCAGAATAACGGACCTAATCCCGAAATTGCAGATTTATCACCCAATCTATAAGATCTTACGTGAAAGTCAAATCATAATCCATATCAACTCGACCTATCCTTAGATTCAGCAATATGATGATTAACACTTCTGAAGGAAACATTCAGTACGGGTATAGATTAAAACATTCCGCATAAAAAAGAATGTTACCTGGAGTGCCCACATCAGTATGGACGAGCCATACCAGACCATTAAGCTTTCCTGCGTTCACCATTTTTCCGACCTTCTCTAAGTGTAAATATCCTGAGTTATTTTTTATGTCTTCAAGGTCCGGGCGGTTGAAAAACAATATTACCACACTATTCTCTGTACGTGGTTCGAGAGATTTATGTCTTTTTTGAGCGAGGAGGCAACGATATTGTGGACTTCGAAGTGGGTTCGTGTGTTCGCTTTACAGCTTAATGTCTCACAGAGACAAAAACGCAAAATTTCACACAGAAATAAAGTTAAATACTTATGGGTAAATTTACCAGTTATTTCGTCCGATAGTGTGTTAGTGTGTTCCCAGAAGCGCCATGTATGACAGACCCGCCACACGTCTCAAGGTCACATGGTCTTCAAGAAATATAATAAAATATCAAAAATAAATCAACGTAAAAGTACTAACCGATCTGTTCCAGGGAGCTTCGGCCGTCTTCAGTACCTACAGAATCTAATTAGCGAATATCAGCAAACTGGAATAGCGGAACACAAGGAACAGGTTTGTACTTGTTAGTTACTATTGCTCAGATTTTAGCCAATCTTGCTAATTTCTGCTACGACTCACGAAACGGCCCACAACTTCGTCAATTGCGTGTCGTTGATCTCTTTTTTGACTGCATCTTAGAACCATCAAGTGCGTGGTACAAAGCTGGTAAGTTGAATTATATATATATATACCTTTAATGGTCTATATTTTCTATCTGGGTTCACCTCAACATTAGTTTTCTGCTGCATTTTTTTAATTTTTCCGATAGTAACTCGAATCTGTTAGTTTCCTCGTTGAAACTATAATTTAAGATCTTTGAGCGACGCTGGTGATATTGAACATGTCCACTTACCAACTAGGACTAAATGAGGGCTATAAATGAGTGTGAGGAGTTAGATTTAGGGATTTAACCACGAACTAACATCAGCTAAAGTTCCAAAAGTTTATTTGGCCAAAATGGATGAACTGCACGCCAATATTAACACGTGTTATATCTACTCGGTTCGTCCATAAATTATAGTCTCGCCGTGTTTCTGTCGATTTGTCTTTAATATGATGGATGAACAAAGGTATGCATGATAAACTAAACCAGGCATATGCTTGTGTATTCTTATTGGTTGATTACATAATCATGTATTACTTTGTGTCTACCAAAATGAGGCAGCCAGGGTATGGTTTTACATTGGGTACCATATATTTCATGACATAAATATGCTAATGGCTTTATAAAACACACATTCAGTCGCATCACCATTTTTGTATGCAGTCTTTAACGCTACATTTTGCAATTAAGTCTCATCTGCTTACATACTCACATTTGACAAATTGGTCACGAGAGTCCAGTTCAAGTTTCGAACAATGTACCCTCTCCTTTTATCACTATTACCTATTCTGGTCATACATGTTATCTAGCACGGATTGTAACATCATGTTCAGAACACTTGTAACTCCTTGCATCATTTTTAGCCCTCTTATTCCGTCTTTCGACGTATCCTGAACTTGCTGCTTTCAAATGTAATTCATCAAATGTCTCAATATAAGCCAAATAGAAGGAATATTCCACTTGAAAGTGGCATATATTGGTGAAAAACGCTTGATTTTTTATGATGAAATCTCAATACAGATCCAGGACACTCGTCTTTTGGATTGGTCTTGGTCAATGTTGAACAAATAGTAGGAGGTAATTAACCTCATTGTTTACTTATCTCAGAATCCTCATTAGCCATAATGAATTGGTGCTTAGCGAAATATCAGCACGGTTTCAGATAAATTATCTGGCTCCTGGAAAATTCCATCACACGTAGCATAAACAAAATGTACATCGTGGATTGGTTGAAGTTAGACATTAACACCGTTGGATGCCGGCTCAGTGGTCTAGTTGGTTAAGCGCCTGGCGCGAGACTGATAGGTCCTGGGTTCGAATCTCGCGAGGAGCGGGATCGTGGATGCGCACTGCTGAGGAGTCCCATACTAGGACGAAACGGCCGTCCAGTGCTTCCAGGTTTTCCATGGTGGTCTAGCTTCAATGGATTCATGATCTCAACCAGAGAAAATGTACATGTAACAACCGAAAGTTTAGCATACAGCTCAGCAGTCCACTATATATTATTATATTGCTCTAAAACAGTTTTCAAAAATAGAGGAGGTATTTTCTTCATAAATTTTCGTAGGGCGTTGTATTACGTAATGTGGTACCATGAAGGACTATGTTGAGGTTAGATACAGAATGCTCGGTATAAATGGCGAACCGGTTTTTAAGGCTGTAAATCTTCGTTGAATGTGGTTATTGGGACATGTGTTACGTGTGCCCAACCACTGTCTATCTCGACCAAGAATGCTTACTGGCGTAGGGGTACGTCGGAAAAAAACTTGGAGCGTTTAAACCTAGCACAGCATCAGTCTATAAAGTCATTAGCTGTTGGCTTATCGTAATGAACCAATCGAGCTATACTGGCTGGAGCAATCATTCCTCAAGTTTCTACCATGACAGACAGGTCGGCTGAAAAGCGGTAAGACTAAAGGGAGCAAACCCAAGTTCTGAGGGCGAAGTCGTACTGCTGACAGTATAGAGGTGTGACGGCAGTAAGGTGTTTGCTTCAAACAATCAGCATAACAGCGATGCTGCCTTTCCACAAGAAAGGGTGGAGTTCGAAGAGGTCGATCCTAAAAATGTACATCTCTCCTTATCCTACGGATTTCCGTCTCCTGCGGTAATGTCCCAGCAAGTACGGAGCTAACACAAAAACTCACAAAAAGGTTATGTGAGGTCGAACTCCGTCTGTCAATTATTTTATTTGTTTATTTTAACACATAGATATTGGTACAAGGAGGCACCAAATACATATGCGCCACACAGATCTCATTGGATATGTGTGAGGGCTGTGATACTGCCCGGGTGCCCAAACCGAAGCAGGTGGTTTTCTTAGGGGGGCACACCCCGAGCCTTCGACCTGAAGATCTGATCCACAAGGCAGTGGAGCATATTAAGGAGATGCAGTCCCATGGAAGCCGGTGACCAACGATTGGTTCATACGCCATTAGTTCCCGGAGGATACTGGAGCCCATGTGCACCATTGGTTTGGGATCCGTTAAAGCGCCGGAAATTTGCTTTTCGTCCTCTCATTTTCGTAAACAACACCCGTGATGTGAAAAGGCAGTGAGTAGGACTTCCCTGGCAGAGGCTATATACGCGTGGCCATATGAAGGCATTTCGAGAGGGAGAGCGGACTCTCCCCACTCTCGGTCATACCAGAGCATTTGGGGGCCCGTCTGTCAATTAAGCGACGAGTATGTTGCGCAACAGTTCTTTCTGTTCTACTTTACGGCTGCGAAACGTGGCCATTAAGGGTAAAAGATACACGTTAGTTACTAGTATTTGTTCACAGATGTCTTATGAATATTTCTCACATCTGCTGGATCACCGGGTAGGTAATAGTGAGGTTCGACGCAGGGTATAAGAGAATGATGGTAAATCAGTTGATGAGGTTGTAAATCTTTATCGACTGAGATGGTTGGGCCACGTGTTACACATGCATGAACACTGATCACCACGACGCGCAATGCTGATTAGTGTTGAGGATAGTCGGAAGAAAGTTAGGGGCGACCAAACTAAAATGTGGCATCAGTCCACAAAGTCACTAACTTCTAGTCTGAGCCATGTTGGTAGATGCAGATTACTTGTTTGAGGTTCGTGTGACTATCACAACCAATAGTTGGAGACTCTGGGAGATATGGCTCAGAATCGATCATAATGGCGTAGGTGTGTACACTCTCTGTCTTCCCTTAAACGGTGAGATTAAAATACTTTATACCTTTATTTCTAAAAATTAATTCTTTCTTCCTGTACTATATACTTATACTTAATCTTTCCTTTATGTATCACTACCAATAAGTAACTATTTCTATGAATTCGTTGTTCATCTTGTTGTGTTAATGAGGTGTGGAAACTCGGACTGATGCATATATGTGTGTCTGGTCCTACGTTGTAAATGACTGATTGACTGACCAGGCTACTCGGTTAGTGTTCCCACAATTATTCTAACCAGTGGATTGAAACTTTGTGTGGAATGGTTTAGAATCCATCTCAGTGGCGCAGGTCCATTGACTCTTGTCTTTCCATATATCCTGAGGTTCGGAATTATGCTATCTTTTTCTTTGGCCACGTGTTGTACTTTTAGTTTGGCATTTTGTAAGACAGTTAAAATTACTTCTTTTATATCCACCTTGATAACTTTTTTGTGTTGAGTCGTGTGGCAACTGCGACCGACACACATTTATTATAAGTTCTACGTTGCTTATGACTGACCAACCCCGTAAAGGACTATACATTCATAAGGTCTATAGTGTTTAGCTGAATAGGAGAAACGATCTGTATTACTAAAGATGCATTGTAATAGTTTTTGCACATATGAACATATAGTTTTTCTCATTTCGCTAACACTCACTAGTAATAATCATACGCTTTTCAAGATATTGAATATTCTCATTTTGAAAGAACATTAACATTCAAATAATTCTAGTAAAATTCGTTTTATTTATATCGACATATTTTTGTATTTCAGCCTTCCAATCCGGATCAAATTTGAAAGTTGGTGAGAGCGAAGCTCGTCTAGTTGAATTTGCTCTTGGAGGTTTATCTAATCTTTCGGCTTCATCACCCCTAAGTCGTCAAGAAATTCTCAACCACATACATTTACCGTGTATTGTGGCTTGTGCTACATCTCCAGACTCCACAGTTGTTGTACATTCGCTGACTATTATCGTACATTTGTTTACTCGTTGTCCGAATTCAGAAGATTTTATTTCTTTGGGTACTAAGTTTCCTGCTATCATCCAAATAGCTCGTCAGTATTGTGAGTCACGTAATCGGCAGACAGACATTGATCCTCGAATTCCAATTTTATCACAAATACTACTGGAAGACTGTTGTAATTGCAGTTCTTCTCACTAAAACTTTGTTGTTTCATCCAAATGTCTTTCGTAAAGAAATTTCGATGCTTACAAATCACATTATTTCTTAGTACTCATCGATCCCTATCTCTATGCTCACCTACGACATTTTTAGTACATTCTTACTGTCAGCTGCCTTTAACTACTTTGCCCGAAATTCATAAGAGAAATTTAAATGAGAAAGTACTATCAACTTGTTCTCAACTTAAGGTAACTTTAGTTAGTACTATATATATATATATATATATATATATATATATATATATATATATATATATATATATATATATATATATAAAGTTGTCTTGTTTTACATTTATTTGACGATAAATTTTTAAATTATAAATTCCAAACAGGTTTTTCATACTTATTGATCTTTAGGTTGTGTAATCTAAAATCTAGGTATTCGGCAGCGAATCCTGATTGAGTTTCACCTATTACCTGCTTCGGTTTGGGCATACGGGCAGTATCACAGCCCTTACACAAATCAAATGAGATTTATGTGGCGTATATGTATCTGGTGCTCCCTTGTTCAAGTAAATTAGTTGCAATGTTGTCTTATTTTAATCATATCTCAACAACTTTGGCTTCATCGACTTTCATAAAATCAAGCTATTATTACAACCATGTATAGTCGGAAGTTCGAAGTTATGTCAGAGTTTATTTTTATTTATTTATTTTAGCACATAGGTATAGGTACAGGGAGGCACCAAGTACATATGCGCCACACGAATCTCAATTGATTTGTGTGAGGGCTGTGATACTGCCCGGGTGCCCAAACCGAAGCAGGTGGTTTTCTTAAGGGGCCACACCCCGAGCCTTCGACCTGACTGTCTGACCCACAAGGCAGTGGAGCATCGTAAGGAGATGCAGAGTTTAATCTTCAAGGTGGATGAGGTTTTTGAAAAACACTGACTGTGACCCTATGCTTCAGAAAAATGTCGAAAATGTACAACGGGAGATCTCATTCGTTTTTCAGAATAATTGCTTCCCAAGCTGTTTTGTGCTGCTACTAGTATACAACGTTCAAGGTGGTATCAGACTATAGTATAAATAGTTTAAAATTAAAAATATCACCTGGTAAAGTTTGACCCATTGGCTAAATAAAACCTACTGGATGTGAACGTTGAGAGTGATTCCTCTTCAAATAAATGACGAGTCCCGTCCGTAGCTACTACATTACTAAAGTGGGGGCTTGCTCATTGTAATTCATTTTTTGGCTGGCTTTGAGCAGGTACCCATTAGGCTCTGCTGTTAGGTTCTCAGGTCAAGGTTTTTAATACTAACTCGAATTTATTTCAGGTTTCGTTAAGAAATAACCCTTCTGAGTATCAGCAATGGAAAAGCGTCGATTGCTCATGTACTTTCATCAAAACTTATGCCTGTTTCTCTCACTATGAATTCTGGTCGTATCCCATGATTTGTGTTATCGACCTCTCTTTCTGGGACCATCTTCCCCTTATGAAGCTGTTGTTTGCAAATGGAGCTCTCAAAAATGGTTTCTTTGGTTTTCTCAACCTGTTCCAAACTGCCTATTGAATCCTTCAGTGTTCTGACCACAGATCAAGTTAAACAACAGGTCTCACTATTCAGAATTCGGTTCCACAAATGTATATCTCTTTTCTAAAACACATACAAAATCTAAACTCGACTGTTCACTCGACCTCATATAGCTAATGCGCTAGGTTTGGACTTCTTTTTCTGTTTGGAAATGCGACAATAACAGACAGATACTAATTTTACTTTCCACACTATTAGCTATCTCGAAAATTACAAGGAATCTGTCAGGGGATCTTTACCATTATAGATCAATCCTAACATCAATAATCACATGATTTGCACTGATAGTTATAACAACTTTAAGTTTTTTTCAGCCTAACATTGCGTTTCGTTCCCAGTATTTTTATCTATACCAATTATTCAAAAGAATTGCAATGTATATTTGAATAGTTTAAAGAGAAAAACGAAGTTGATCCAGCATAAATGAGTTATCCGTCTATCAACTAAGGGGCGAGTATATTGCAGAGCGGTCTTCTATGTACTAATCTACAGTCACGAAAAGTGGTTTTTAAAGGAAGGAGACAAACATATACGGCAAGTATTCGGTCATAGTTGTCCGTGAAACAGTTACCTCTCTCATAAAAAATGGAGTGAGCAATACTGAGGTTAGAAGTAGGACATTAAGCAAGGATGTTAAATCGATTGCTGAGGCTGTGAATCTTTGTCGATTCAAGTGGATGAGAGGAGTGTGTAACGTATACACAACTACCATCTACCTAGACTCTCAATGTTGGTTGGGATAGAAGTAGGTTAAAAGAAATCTAGAGGTAATCAGATTATGACATGAAATCAACCCACAGAACCATTGACTATCAGTCTAAGATATATCATTAGGTGCAAAATCTCTGATTAGGACCTTTACAATACTCATGACCAATCATTGGAAATGTTAGATAATATAGTCTAGATGAGGTCTCAGTTGCATTCATTGTTTTCCTCGAAATTCAGAATCTAGTGTCACTCTTTGACCGTTCATATTGAGATCAATTTCTCTTTTTAGCTTATCAATCCCATCGCTTGCTTTCTTATATAGTGTGTGGCAAATCCAACTTGCATATATTCGTGCCACAATCCCCACATTGATAATGATTGCGGTACATCAATCTGTATACTATAGTATGTCTATTATAGTGTTGAAATACCATTTATTAAATCAATAATATGCTAGAAATTTTGTAATTTGTATAACCATAAAGCATCTTGTCCTCACTGAGCATTGTTTGAGAATGTCACATAACTGCTGAACAAATTTTCCTAGTTCTTATGCCATCAGTTTACTTTTAAATTACTAATTACCACTATGTTTTAATGTATCTCCATTATTCTAGAGTGATAAACTTGATCTGAATCCACAGTCTGAATCACTACCATATCAGTTACCTGGTTCATTAGCTGATCAAAGTAAGCAATACCAAAAGAATACGATTTTAAAGTTTTAGCTCTACTTAATTTGTGTCTGTTTTAGCATGCCATCGTTTATTTAATAACATTTAACGGATCACATATCACGGAAATTTTAATGATCGTCGATTTTATTATGTTCCTCGCTTATAACGAAACTAGTCAAAACGTACAATTTAGGACAAATATAACTCACTTGTCAACTACAGGCCTACATCATCCGCTTTGACCACAATTTACGTGGTGCCTTGTGATATCCAGCTTAACACATCAGGGTGAATCGGGGATTGAACCCGTAGCTTCTTACACATTTAAGGTCGTACTACACATCATCACATCGAAATAAATCAAATAAATCGAAAGAGTAATAGTATCAGTAAAAGTAAAGAAGAAGTAGGCGTTTGAGAGAAGCTGATAAAATGTGCTAGCGATTAGCATGAAATAATGTAAAACGAGATTTAGAGTGAGCTAAAGAATAGATATATCTGCAGTACTCCTGCTGATGTTTAGTTTGATTATTCAACCTTACAGCTATCTTGTGAATCCTAACCAACAGATCTACGCCCTCTGATATTGTAGTGAACGACAACATAAGTGGGGACAATGAAATGTATTTGAACACAAAATTACAGAATCTCTTAGTAAAATCTGAAAACCATACAGTAAATTCTTCATCTTCAAAATGTCAATCAATTATCTCTGATTTAATTGTTCGTTTGTTTCCACATCAATCATTCTCTGTTCTCGTTCTCTTTCCTCCTTCTGCCACCAGGCCTTCCACTTTCGATTGATGATACATACTACTTACATCTATCAACATCAGTAGCACACACCACAATATGACTCATTCCAACACTCATTGAGCCGAAAACAGAAAATGACTTTCTAGACTATATAAGACTGTAGAAAATATATATTCACAATTTATCTGCTGAGACAACTAGCTTCTGACAATCTTGGTGTTTGTTGGGACATTGATAGTTTTTAAATCTAGTTAAACCTAATTGTTTCAAATACATTTACTATAGCATTGTAAGCTGTGTATAAAGTCTCTTTATGTATCTGTCGGTTTTCCACTTACTGCCATAAATACTACTGGTATTTATACAGTTTTTTCCTGTTGTTGGTATTTCTCTATTCTTACAATGTCGAAGTATTTTGATTGATTCAGTACACACTATTATACCATGTTTTATATTGTGTCTATCTTTCCTGAAGCCCAATCTTAATATTTGCTGGTGATTTGTTTGCTTATTCAAAATTATAATTATTGATTGTTCAAAGTTTGTTTTATGTTAAAAGAAATATCAATGTTTTTGGGAATGTATGTTTGTTTACCAGCAGATACAAGTGCTGTTAATGTAGGATGTGAAAAATCCCAAGCACTTGGAAGTACCTCAGTTAATAAATGGGTTCCTAATCCTCTAGTAACATCGTCATCGTCGTCATTCTCACCACCAACACCATGCCCAACTACAGTGGATCTAGTTTTAACTCAACCACCTGCTGTCCTACTTTTCAAACATTATGCATCAATCGTTGCAGGTCTTTCAAAGGCTCGTCTTACAGGTTTAGTTGTTTCAACTGCTTTAGTCGGTTGTGGCTTAGCAGCATCTACTAGTATGGTATCACCTGAATTCCTAGAAAATTGTTATTCGACTACAATTTGTTTAGCTCTTGGAACTACACTAACCAGTTCTGCTGCAAATTCAATCAATCAAGTAAGATGTATTTAGTCGAATTCTTTTGTGTTTTTAATGAAAGATCGAAACTTTGTTTTATGTTTTTAGGTGTTTGAATCTTAGCATTAAATTTGTGCCATCCGAGCAAATCGATTCAAATTTCTACATGATGAAATTACAGGAACAAGGAAAGTCGAAGTGATTATCCTCGCAACTTCATCAGAAAGGTGTCTAAAACATTGACGCACCAGTACGAAATCATCCACAAGTGACAAATAAGTCCCATGTGCCCACAGAAAGTGGTGTGGGTTGACAAACTTGAGGTTAGGAGCACCAAGCATGAACTCTCAAACAGGTCACCAGTATATTCAAAAAACGTTCGACAGTGGGATCTGTCTGGGTAGCTAGTGTCGTATGGAGAAGGCTTGGTGACGTGATTTGTGAAGCTAATATTCAGAGGAAATGTCTGACTCAATACATGAACCACATACGACCTGAAGAGCATACATCAATTGAGCCACCTGAGCCCAACCTATCATTAGGTCACCTTGTTGTTACAGCTAGTCTGGACCAATAAATTCGGAGCAGCGGAAACAGCAATCAGGTCGTAAAAAGATCTTCAAGAAAACATTGCCGCACCTAACACCTTCAGCTAAATCCGGGAGACCAAATCTATTTTCTGAAGGGAAAGGAGATACATTAAGTCAATCAGAAATCAGCCAAATAATAGGTGCACGTGAGTAGTCAAGAAATGGTTTCCATTTCTAAGAAATGAGACATACATCATTGGTGCGTTGGTTTTCTAAAGGACAGACACACGTGAATGGGTATACATGTCGATTCACTTTGTTATAATTTCGTTCTTACGGTTATAACCCAGCTACTCCTATTGCTTAGTATTCACGGACACAGATTCACTCGACAAGGCCTCAAATCAGAACACGGTTGAGCAGGAAGGAGATTATATTCCAAATAACAAGGTTAGGTGGAAGCAAGAAGCAAAATAGGAAAACCGTTAGTATATTTATAGCTTTTTACATAAGAAGATTCTAGAGTTTTCTCCATGTATCGACTAGCGCTGGTTGGATAAGAATCAGCCAATCAGCGTGCGCCAAAGCAATCGTGCATTGAGCATGATTAAATCCAATCTATGTCCCACTAACACAGTTATTCAGTAAACTTCCTTCCCCGCTTTCACTCTTCCCACCCGAGCAACCGGTTTGTCTCGTATATGAGAAGATTGTATACCAGTATCAAGATCGGACACCGTAAAACGTAGCAGAGCTAATCAAATTAGTTCTCAACTTAGCTAATTGACATAGTTAAGCCTTTGTATGAGATCTCATTGCCCTTGATAAGATCGCTGATTAGGCGAAAAATGTACACTGTCGAGGATCCCCATGTTGGGACGAAACTGCTCTCTAGTGCTTCGTAGTTTTTAATAGTAATCAAACTAAAGTCAACCTGTAACAATTACAGCCTATAAATTTAGCCAGTTTCATCAAAACCCGTCCAACCTAACTTCTATTTTTAAAACTAACTGGATTTCATCCAGGTATATATGAAGTGAGTGAGAACACGCAGTTGGGGACAACCAATTTATTGTCTAATGCAAGATTACACAGTTCTTTGTTAAAATGTGAAAACCATACATCAAATACATCATTTATAAATCTTCCAATTCTCGATTCCTTTATATTTTCATTTGTTTTCTTCAGTCCATCCATCTCAACCTTTTGACAGTTTTCCTATTTCTGATCAGTGTGACATACTGTCAACATACGTAACACACACTACATATTTACTTAAAACCGGTTCACTAGTTGGTTCATTCGCGTTACTTTTCACTTTGTCTACTATTGATTATTGAGTTAGTCATAGAAGACAAATTTTTACCTTTACAGTCGGTGGAGATTTCCCAGTGTTCAGAGAGAGTGGTTTGATTTTTTTCTCTCACAATCTTGATACTTCTCAGTTGTCAGTATGCAATGCTGATAATCATCGAGATTTCAGGTGGTTGGAAATGATCGGAAGAAAACCCTGACACACCTAAGCTTCGTGCTAATTGGCACTCATTGGGAAGGCGTATCTGTATTAGTGAGGGATCTAATGCTCCCATGGGATTTGAATCTGCGTTGTCCAGTTTCATAGTCCGATATGTTACCACTAAAAATTTGTTTGATTTCTCAAGTTGTGGATAGTATATTTAGGGTTCTTGGTAGAAACTATGACAATCATATAATCGTATTTGACCACTAAGTGATAATTCTAAGATTTATCAGTAAGTACTGCTGTTTGTTTTTTTTAAAAATTAAAATGCATTTTTCGATTGGATCTATTTCTCGTCCCCCAGATTATCGAAATTCCTTACGACAGCCAAATGACTCGCACACGAAACCGTGTACTCGTTCGTGGTTTGATCACGTGAGTTGATTTGTCCATATTTTTCCAAATTGTATCATATATCGTTTGATAAATGCGAATAAATAGGCTTCTCTGCCTTTCAATGTATACAATAGATTTCCTCCTCCTCAACACCATAAGTACATATACCTACTAGAATTTATATACTTTGCCTCTAATAGATAGAGTACATACAGATATAGTCGCATTAAATAAAGAACTTTGGTCCATAAATAGTAAAATAATGAAAACATCTCGAGGTTATATCATTATATCTCTGTGATAACCGGTCGAATATTTCGATCAGTTATGATTTCGTGCTGACAAACTCATTCATTGCCAGTCCTACACTAAGACATAAAGATGTTAGTTGATCACCCATCATTTACACTTGCAGATAGTATGGTTGTTACTGCAGATGATGCATATCAGAACAAACATGTGTTACGTCAAAGTCAATACCTAAAAGAGCTAATTTAGTCTGCAATCATGTTCCAGCTGGTCATTATTTGCCTATAATCTTAGTAAGTCGCGAAGACCAGCCTTTTAAATTCTAACGAAGTTGAGAAGACTGTAAAAAGCTTAAGCTTAGAAAAGGTGATAGAACATAATGTCACGATTCCAAAATACTTGAGTGATAGTGATCAGAAATTATATATTTAACCGAAAGATTGATTATAAGGATAGGATATATCATCCTAGCATCCCGAACTTCAGCATCGCCCGGTCAGGTTTATCCAAAGGACTTTTGTGATGACCGTGGACAAATCATACTGGTAAGTGATCGCAGGCAATCTTTAGGAGCCCCTGTTTGATCTAGATCTCATGTTATTTGGCACTTGGTTAAAAGGCATGCCTACTGTTTTCAAGCAAACGAATCGTCCCCTACTGAATTCAAAATCGCATTACCCATTGTCACCGTCAGAGACGTTACCACGAGGCTGTTCGAGTTGTGACTAAACGATAGGGGTGATATATTTACACTGATTAACTAGATGTCATATTTGTTTAGCCTTTCGATGTTATCTGTATTTTATCAATCAAGTTATAGTAAGAGCAGCATTATAAATGACCCAATATTACATGCATTAAGTTTTGATGTTTAATGGTTGGAAAACTATGCAATTTCTTAGTTCAGACATTTATCTGTTAAAGTTTGTATTTTCCCTTTATTGACATTAAAAATTGTAATTAATCAGTTTGTGTTCGCATATGTACGTCCTGATCGGGTTGACTTGATGTTACGCTTCGTCACATGTTTTATAGAGTATATGGATTTTGGCCATCAAACGAATCTAAAACGTACGCTTCCTCCCACTCGAGGCTCGTCAGCTGAATGTACCTGCATCCCATTTTTGATGTTCACACTGCTAAACGCTATTCAACTTTCATAAAAGCTTATGGGTAAGTGGAGTTACCCTCAGGATGCCCATACCCCAGTAAAAACCCATCAGTTTCAGGCCTTATAAAAAGTACCATACTTTACTAGGTCATCTTAGTAAATTACTATTTACAAACAACATGAATGTAATTTGAAATTTTCTACTAGTTTTTGTTCCTAAATTCTATTCAAAACTTTTAGACCCGGCAGAGCAGCTCTTTTTGCACTGGCTTGTACTGGATCTGGACTATCACTGCTTTATTTCGGTGTAAATCCTCTTGTTACTTCATTGGCTGCTGTAAATATGTTATTGTATACATGTATATATACACCATTGAAACAGATTAGTCAGGTTAATACATGGGTTGGAGCTTGGGTTGGTGCTATACCTCCATTGATGGGTTGGGCTGCAGCTACTGGACAGTTACAGTGTGGTAAGATTTTATATATATATATATATATATATATATATATATATATATATATAGCTGTCATTTGTATAGTCTTTGTCGTCTGTTGCACTACTAAAAGTACTGATGTTGTTTTTCTGCACTGATAATGACCGTAAAGAAGATACAACAATCAAATTAACGTTTTCTTAATTATCAACTTGTCTCCCAGGTACAGATTCGTGTACTTGATTTCGGGGCTTGAGACACTGTGAGACTGCTCAAGTTAAAAATAGATTTATTGGTATTCGGACATGAAACTTAGTGGCTAAAAGTCGAATGGCTCAAATACAAAGTCATCGTTTCGCTTAATGTTAGTGGGTTATGAAAATGTTTTACAGATAAAACGCCGGTGTTAATACTGTTTCTAGTATAGGAGGAACCTGGATAGTGGATTTCTCACCGATTAATATCGCCTAAAAAGCTACTGAAATTGAGAAAGCTCTAAAAGACTGTTTAGTCTAGCTAGGTGCTTTCAAATACCCTGGTACGGACGAGAGTGAGGAAGTCCGGTCTCTTCCTTCAAGATGCTCTCGTCTGGCCACGCGTATATAGCCAATGCCAGGGAGGTTCTACTCCTTCGCTTTTCGCTGCAGGGTTATTGTTCACGAAATTGAGGAAACGATAAGTGAATTTTTAGAGCTCAAACTTTGTTGGTAGGTACGAAGGATCCATCGATGGGAGTTGAAAAACCTTGACTGCAAACTAACGCTGCACATCGGCTCCAGGAAGAACAAACGGTGCATAAACCCATTCTTGGTCTCCGGGTTCCATGGGACTGCCACTTGTTTTCACTGATTTTCCGACCGATTTCAGTCGATGGTTGAAACCATTTCTAATTCGTGCAAACTCACACAAACCATTTTTGTGAAAATGATATTTAATATGGTGAGTGTACATGCTTCTTGTTTAGTGTTGCTATCATATGAACTTTTGATGAAGTTTACTATGCCATTTAGGTTAACGAAATATTCTGGACCAGTCAAGCAATATCTTCCACAAGAAAAATTCTTAGAACCTACATTTCTTTCTTTGGTGTCCTGAACATACTCATGCTCGTCTTGCGTGTTTCAGAAATTGTCTAAAATTGTGTATATGTCGGAAAAAACAGATATTATGATAACAACACTGTGTTTACTGTTTCCGAAACTGATCGATTTTCATAACTAACTGAGCAATATATAGCCTAATTATTTAACCTCAAGTATTTTCATAATGATGTGCACGTGCTAAGCCTTCTCCTTTCACAACAAACTATAACAGTTTCTGTGCTTTTCTATAATTTATTAATATTTTTCACGTTTTTCTCCTTTTTAGGTTCAATAATCCTAGCATGTTTGCTATATGTATGGCAATTTCCACACTTTATGGCACTCAGCTGGAATATGCGTAGCGAATATTCCAAAGCTGGTTACGCAATGACATCTATCATCAATCCGGATTTATGCAAACGAGTTGCTTTACGTTATTCAATAGCATCAAGTTTAGTTTGTTTAGCTGGTGCTGGTTGTAGTGCTCTAAGTTTAGGACCATGGGCTGGTTGTGCATTAGGCATTGGTTCATTGCCAGCTAATATAGGTTTAATTTATTATGCATGGAAATTCGCTAAATCCAATTCAAATGTTACTGATGGAAGTTCTGCTGCTGCAAGACGTTTATTTCGAGCAACATTATTTCATCTACCTGTAGTTATGATCACTGTATTATTGGGTTCTTATTGTTCTATCAATTCTGGACATATGTAGTGATATATCTGTAGGCGATTGAATTAAGTTTAATAATGTATGTACCTAGATATTTTATAACATATTATCGTTTTCGTTTCTTAGTACATTACCTTTAATCAGTCTCCTTTTCGTATCTCCAATGCTCTGTATGTACATGGAGTTTTCTTCACATTAGTTGTATTGGTAATTTTTCCCAACAACAGAATTGTTTATACTGAATGAGTATTTGACTATTTATTTTACTGTCGAGGGTTTGTGGAAATCTTTAAATTTTGTAGTTAACATTACGGATTGTCCTCAGAGAGATAATCATAAGAAAAAACAGAAAAGACTGGACATTTGTTTCATCCTAGTATGAAACTCCCCACCGTTGTGCATCCAAGACCTAGCTATTTATCTGACCTAGGAGCTCCAGGTTTTGCGGCGAGTGACTAACCTTTGGATTGCTAGGGCGGGATATAATGATTTATATTTCTAACTTTAATTAGTTCACGATATTGTGCAACCAACTTGTAATTTCATTGGTGGGTAATTGATTCACATAAATGTCTGGGCTGCACTGATTATGGCTTCTCATGTGCTGATTATTGACACATTTTCAGAGGCGATTTTCGAACTGACAGTGATTCCAAAGCCAATAGATCTGGAGGTCAAAAATAACAAGATGTGGATACTTATTTAGATTACAGGTTTATTCGCCGTAGTGTATAAAATTTAAACTGAGCAACTATCGTAAGAGACGCAAGCACCGCGTACTAAATGTGGTCCGGTGCGGATGCTTGACCGAGCACTTTCAACTAGAGGTGAATCTAGTAAAATTAATAAGGTCAGGATTGCTGACGAAGATATTTAAGTATTTATTTACCTTTACAAATACTTAGAAATTATGAGATAATGATGGGCACGAAATGATCTATTTCACAGTAATCGCTGCAATGGACGATTCAGAACAATATAGAGACTTGACTTATCAAAAACGTTCACTGTCATGTTACTAAGAGATGAAATCGAAAGGAGAAAAACGTGCGTGTATGGTGGGATCGTGCACTAAAAAGAAATGGTCTAGTAATTTCTTAATATCGTGACGCCAATAACGATATAACGGATGAATGACTAATGTGACTGAATAAATATATAATATTAAATGAATATAATGATCGAAGAGTTAGTACTTTGATTGTTGTAATCTTATAATAAATTTACAACTTTTGCGGATAATACAACGATATGAATGATTTATAAAATTAACGAATAGAAGTAATCGGTGCGTAGTTTGAACAGTTGGACTTGAGTGTATTATGTGTGATGGATTGGATTCCTTTTTCTGCATCGAATTCAATGAGTATGTTATCTGCATCTTTTTTTGGAGTTAATATTTTGTTTGAAATCGGGTTGCGTCTCTGTTGTTGACTTCATGACGATGTTTACGAAATACATTCATCATTAACTTTGTATATCTTTGTTATAACGTGAAATCTGCCTATTAGAGAGCAGCCTATTATCGATCGAAACAGTGACGCATAAAATACGTGCGAGCAGCCTAGAGTCCTGATTGGTCCTGCTTCCCTGTCTAGCCCAGCCAATTGAGTCCAGAACACAAGTCTCAGCCTCGGAGATATGAATCGTTATATTTCAAACATACACTGTTTATATACCAAACAAACAGACTACATCGTACCATAAATAGAAAGTAACATTTGTATAAGATTTAATCTTCAGGAAATGACACAAATAAATATTGACCAATAAGGAGATGACACGTTGGAAGAATGTTGACCAATGGGGAAATGACACTACTTCTCATTCAGGAATGGCATTAGATAATTTCTGGGGTATTTTCTGAATACCCCAATAATCTTCTGTCAACCACTTGCGTAGAAATAAAAAGCTGGATAAGGTATGTATTCAGGATACGCATATGTTAGGCATTCATATAAGTAAGCAAACTAAGCGAAGGATGATAGATATTGAATTGATGTGGATAGGGCAAGCTGTATAAGTCGACTCAGTGGACAGTGGGTAACTTAGTCACTACATAAGGTAAGTCGTATGTGAATTACAGGTAATCAATTAAAGTATAGATAACAGACATACACAAGGCGAGCACAACTAAAAAGTGCTCCAAGTTAATGGTAAATAATTGACAAGTCTACACATATGAGAACATTATTTTATAACCACTATTGCGCTACTCGTTGTAAATATATATAGCGTGGAGCCACGAAGGAAAACGTCTTCGCTCTATTAGCTCTTAATAAATATGGAAATGGTAATTAGCACTGTGTGGAAATAAACATCCATGCATACAATATGATCAATGAAGTTACAATTAAGCACCCCAAGGTCACACAACAGTTCTTATCAGTCTGTCACATTAACTCATGACTAAACGTTTACGATCCCTTTGTTTGCCCCTGTTAACGTGTTACAAAATGGTTTTAAATTAGATATAAACATTCTTGCTAGATTTTACATTATTCCTTGTCTTCAAATCTAATCTGTTGTTGAAGGTAGTTTATTTTTCACCGAAAAAAATATGGCTGTGTATTAGAAATACCGATGCGATTTGTACCTTCATTATCTTTTTATTGGACTATTTATACATCTTCATATATTTGCTTTGTTTTAAATTTCGCATCCAGTCTGATAACTAAAAAGTGTCTCCGGAATATTCACGTAAACCAATTTCTTATTTCGATGATTCTGTAGAGAAGTAAGATAATTATGAACTAATTAATTGTGGTAGGCTATATTGAATTATAAGATGACTACTGTTTGACAGATTTGTAGTAAAGTTGTATTAATTATATCAATAATTCAGATGTATAAGACTGGGAACCCCATGTAGGATTGTAACTTGTCACTCCGATAACTGAATTTTTATTCACCGATAAAACACTTTATTTAAAATGCAATTATAAGTAGAACTGATAATTTATATGCCGAATCTGGATTAGTCGGTTAACTTAGTGAAGGTTATACTTTTATTGATTTACCGCATCAGGCAGACCGCAGGAGAAACGTCTGATTATTTCAACCATACTTTACAGCCACAAATTTTTAGAATTCGTTTGAGGAGAAAAGCGGAGTCTAGGTAATTGTATCTATGTTGAACTAATGCGGTGAATAATGAATACAAAATACTGCCTATCTTATCATGATCTCTATCTAAACTGCAATAACTGTTTATCATTTACACTAAAAAGCAACCAAGTGGGACCTAATTCTTTCGGAGTCATTGTCCAATTTAATGTCAAATTATAGATATGAAGATAGCTCTTTAAAATACAATTATCATTATCGAAAACATTCATGTAATTGATAAAATCCAAGTTAGGAACCAATAAACCATCCCTAAATATTTTTAACAATGAGATTTATTAGTACCACTACTGAATAAATCACATGCGTCAGTTTAAAATCTAATGAATACAACCAATCAAAGTTCGTTTATAGTAGCATTTTCTGATAGCGCCTATCGAGTTAATAATAATCTTTACTGGCCCGATATCTGACTTCAGCTATATCGTATGATGATTGTCGTCGAGATATACATGCTAGCTACCCTCGTATATAATTATCAACTTAATTCGCGTTAAAGAATAAGGGATTAAATAAGTCAAATACGAGAGTGGATTTTGCATACATATATTTCAAACAATCGTTGACCTGAACAGACAATCAGAGAAACGGAGTGAAGGGAGCGAAGCAAGACGAAATGAAACGTAGTAACGCGCAGTGGAGGAGAGTGAACCTATTTAACTTAATCAAGTATTTACAGCCAAGCAAAATTAAGTTACAGACAAATGATGAATAGGGTAAGTAACATACGATTATACAAAAACAGTCAGGATTAAAAAAAGAATCAGTGATAAAGGAAAAATATGGCTTGAGGAGAATGAATAGGTCAGTCTGTCCAGAGGTTAGAATAATCTACGTGGGATTGATATAGTACCAGCCCCTACAAATGCATAACATTTAAAGTGTTTTCGTTAAGTAGTGAATCAAATAGGCATGAGTCTGTAGAATATGCTAATCGTCATATCCCCTTATCGTTAATAACACTGATAAGATGGGTGTTTATGACGAATAGTCACTTTTTGGTTAGTTTTTCTTCTAAAGGTAGTCCGATTCGATTGATGGAATCTGTTAGTATACGTATGAAGGGTTACTCTGAATTACAGTTAGTGACAAAACATCAGAAGAATTACTTACACCTCAGAGTGAATGGGTTCAGCAGTGGGTTTACCGTAGAATTTTCGGCATTTTTCACAGCATTTAACACGGATAGTCTGAAAACCGTAAGTGCTGGCAAGAAAAATACTTTACGTTATATATCACTAGAGTAAAACAGCAGAATGTATTTATTCTACGCTTGTGAAAGTATTAAGTGTGTTTTACTTTTTTAAGTTTGACTACACGAACTTAAGACAACTTATGGCGAATTACTGTTTCAGCTGGGAGCAAGTGACAGATAACAATCACATAAATCACTTACCAGGAACTTTTCAGTCAACTTAAAGCATTCAGACGATTTGACTAATTTAAATGAGTATGTATCCTTTTGAGTAGCTCAAACAATTATGTGGAGATTGTACTATTTCGAGTTAGATTTGATCACTGAAGTCGGATTATTGGAATAAAATAATTTCTCTATTGCTTTTGTATGTTCCGCAATATGCTTTTAAGGACAACACTGTTATCTACCGAACAAGCGTGACTTTCAAACACACTGCAGATTTAGTATGTGCAGACATTGACGACTATATGTAAAACAAATATCTTTCATAATCAATCACAATAGTTTATAAATCAAATACTATACCCATAATATATTTGAGCCATTATAAGTTTGTTAGTAAGGCGTACCATATACTAGTTTAAAAAAGAAATATGAAAGTATTTTTCTATTTCGGTTATATTTATGCAGTACTTTTATACGGTACGTACGTAAGCTTTCACATCAAAAATAAAGGTGACAAATTCCATTTTAATTTTGAGACAGACGTTTGGAACTAATCAATAAGGTATGAACTACATAAAATTACAGAAAAATTTTGTGAATAGAAGAGAGGATAAATAAACAAATGAAGATGTCAGTAGATATAACTTAATCAAGGACAATCAATATAAATGTAGTTTAGTTAGTTGCATTTCACTGTTCACAAGAAATACAACTATCTCTGTTAGCTATTATTCTGAGATATGTCTGATGACATCGCAAATTGAGTTGCACAGCCTGTAGGACCAAGTTCAAGGGAGAGACGATGTGCCTTTATGTCTTAATTCAACGGAAATACCATTTATTCCACTTGGTTTTGCATGAAATTGACAGCCTATTTCCTTAGCTTTTGAGTTGATATATAGGTCGCATCCAAACTGCTAAAGTTGGTGTTCCGAGATTTTAAGAAATCTGACCTTATAATGGTTAAACATAACAGTGAGGACCTAGAAATTACTTTGTAGGAGTCTCGAATACAATTTCTTGAAGCACAAATAGCATCAAAAATGAAACCTTCTAAAGCTTCAGTAACATTTATCCGTTGTTTAGTCTGTTTAAATGCCAAAAATTGAAGACGGTGGTCTGAAACAGCATAAGTGATCTCACAACAACCTCATCTGATTTCATATTCAGTAACAACCTCTGAAAAGCAAACTAGGTGCTAGTCCTTATACTGTTCTTAAAGGCACACTTTGTGTGAAATTTAATGAGACAATCAAGCCAAAGTAGTTTAAGAGAAATCTAAATGAACAACTGACTGATTAGAAAGCGAATCAGTTAACCACCAAAACAGAAAAAAACCATTTGACGAATAAAGACTGTTTAAACGGGATATAAACGAGTTGTTAGTTGAAACAAACACAGGACTATAATACAGGTAGTGATGATAGGCATAAAATCTACAGCTAATATGAAGTGGATATACAGTGGGACATGTCAGGTATCAAATCATGAAGTACTACTAAGTGATCCTGGGCAAAAATGTATCCAGAAAGTTCTCCTTCATATGCATCTATATTCAAAACCCACTCAAATGACATAATTAACAGTGAATAGTAAAATTAAAATGCAGAAGCACAATTATTTCCGATATATTCAGTCATTTTTGAAATTTCTCTCGAACTAGATGTTTTACAACGTTCTGAATATGTGGTATAATTAATTTTCTAGCTTCAAGCCACTCTTGCTTTACTTTTTCAGGATTTTTTATGGAAAAATATTCAATACCATCTTTATAGTGAGGAGCAAAAAAGGATTCTTGACTAAGAATATTCGATTCGTCGTTATCGTTCTCCTGATCTTCAACCGGTATGTCTTCATTTTCATCTAATGTTTTCCATTCTTCCAAAACTTGTTCTATTGGAAAGTCAAATTTAAACTGGTTGTGATCCATTCGGAACCTAGATTTCTGAAAACAAAGATAAAAAGTGTATTTAATTAGATTACCACTATAGATAAAACATTCACGAACACGAATACTAAATAATTACCTAATGCAGACTAATTTTACTTTAGGCGGTCACGCTCTACCAGTTGGTAGCATGTTCAATAAAATGGATGCAGGATTATTGTATTTGAGATTCCATCTTAACGGAAGAGGAGCTGAGAGTCGGACATGTACCTTCGATAAGAAGACTATAATAATAAATTTGTCAATTAACAATCTTTTAGAATTCTTTAACACTCATGCTGGCAATTGTTAACCTACGAACAAATAATCCCCAGAGAACATCCATTCGAAATATTTTCGCCAACACTATGAAGACAAAACTTGCAAGTTTACTTTGTTTAGGACTATTACCAAACAGGGACATCATAGGTATAGGTTTTACAACAACATAAGTAATAAGACTGGTTCTTTATTCACTAGGCAGATAGACATCAAGATTTTTACCGCTCAATGTCAGTGAAAAAGGTCTTGCGACAGTTTTCGATATGGTAAACCCAAATTACTTTCACGACATAGGGGAAAAATGAAAGTAACAGTTTGTACAGACGACTTTTTCTTTCTGTTTCGTAGATACAGGGACCAATTTTGTTAAAGGTTACTGTGAGTCTCAATACATGATGTCATATCTTCGTAGTCAAGATTTTAAAGACATTCCTTCCTCTTCCAATAACCAACAGACATTATTTCGCTTCAGAATTCCACTGATGCAAATTATGCTTCTTAATGACAATATGTGATTTATACGTTTATGTTTTTGAAGTTTTTTAACTAATATCTAGAATTTTCTAAATAAAATGGTATTTAAACATACTTAAACATATTCAGTCGGATGTGCTGCATCCAAACAAATGAAGAAAAAAAGTATGCATGAGTTAGTAGTCCGTTTACAATGAAACATTTTTAATCACTTCATGTTAAATAGTCCACCTCTACACTGCTAACTGTTACTTTGTTTTAGATTTCATTCAAGAATAACCACAACTTTCAGTTGTGAAGTAGAAATGTCACTAGTACTTTACCGTTTTTAGTATTTTTGCAAACTTATTAAAATTTGATAAAATAGATGGATTTTCACACATAAACCATTCTTCTAACTCATTTTAACTGTAAAGAAAGGTTGGTTTCTGAAAAAGGATCAGTGGAGGTGTTTGTAAGAAAATTGAACTATTTGGCCTAAATCTAGGAGAAAGAAAAATATTGAGAGCAAACTTCAAGCGAAAAGTAGACTACTCGAAGCACACAGAAATGTAAATTGTTTGACATTTCCCTTAGAGGTAGACGTTAGAAAAAATGTCTCACTATCCCGACTTTGAGAAAGATTAGGACAGTTTTTGGAAACTTTGCATGATTCATATTAGAAAATTTGGGCAATGCAACAAAAAACCCCACCATTTCTACTAATCTGGGAGTTTTCGTTGAAATTTCCGATGACTCTAGTAAGTTCCTATTTCTAAACGTTGTGCGCGTACAGAGGTGAGAGCTTAAAACAAGCTTTTTAAGTTAGCTCACCTACCAGATACTTGGGGGTTATGAGACACACTCTAAGTAAAGGCAAATAATACTAACCTGATCTCCAAACAGAAGTAAATGGAGTGAAGTTCGTTCAAAACTAAACGCTAGTCGCAACCTGCTATTACATTCTGTTCAACGACATACTTAATACTTGAACAAGAAGGTGTTACAAACTATGGTCGTCAACTTAGCACTAAGATTTATCTAAAACTTTGGGACACTTAGGCCTACTTTTAGCATCGCTTGTAACTCATTTGCAACATCCGTCAGAATCGCATTGAAACCCGGTTTTCTATCACCATAAGTATACGTATCTTCAGATATTCAATAGTTAGCCACAAATGTGGATTTCTACGACGGATATACACTGTAAGTATATTTTATTACCAACGTGATATTACGAGGTTATCATCCCATTCTAACATACGTCTATGTTCACTAAATGACATCACTTTTCAAGAAGTTTCCCGCTAGAAGCAGTTCTAAGTTTAATAGGTCTGTACATTGGTTCATACTTTTAAATCATGGTAGCACATTTTACAAGTTAGAGTTATCAACGAATTTATCCAGTTATCATATGTAATGGTTTTAAGTTTTATATCACAATTACATTTTCCCTCAGCATCAATCCAAACTCCATGTTGTTACCAACGACGTCGACAAGAAAGACGTGCTCAAACAACTAAGCAACTAACTGTTAAACGAAAAATTATTTATGTACAAGGAGGATGAGACGTCAGGAGAAATCACGGGTCGGAATAATCCCGATGCTGACTGCTTTCTGAAAAAATCCAAGGTTTTAAACTGTTGTGGTTAGTTGTGATAAAATAAAATATCCTTTCATATAACTTCCAGTCATTTGTGGGTTTAAGTGCTGGATTCACAACTATCCTCGGGTAAAATGCCAAAGACATTATGCTATCGTGTCTCTCAATAAAGTCTATAAGGTAAAATGATGATAGCGTACATTATAAATGTTTGACAGAGAAGCAAAAACGAAGCACACTTTTGATGTGTACACTTCCGAGGAGTTGAAGGTTCGATGTGCTTTTGTAGATTTCTCATAAATTAACATTTTGAAGGGGCTTTACATAGATCTATTACGCAAGTGTTTAATGATTTGATGGGACGAAATTTAAGACTGATAAAATTAATGAATGAAATTTTGACTGATAGATGAATGCAATGACATGATGTGGCTTAGTGGTGGCTACTCATGTTGTTAATGACTTAGGCCTCCGAATGACTAAAAATAAAAGACAAAACCACTAGCCAGATTAGACTTTCGTGCGATAAAATGACTTGCTTAGATACAGAATATGAATACAAAATAAACACGACCAAATATCTAAGGTGTAGGTTACTCATTAACCAACCAATTAAGACATGAATATTAGGCTTAACCTTTGGGCATCTCATCACAATCGCAATGTATTCATTTAATAGATTCATATTTATCACTTTTTCAAAAGCCGAAGTTTTGTCACCACAAGCAAGTTGTATCGTTTTAATGATCGGAGGTTTCAGGCCCTGAATCAAAATGTTGACAAAACAATGCCGGCCATTGTAGATTTATCTAATCAGAAAAATAAGTTGACGGCTTACGTTGAAATCTCATCCATCAAAGTCAAGGAAAAAGTATATAAAACGGCCTTCACAGTTTCTATCTCAAACGCCTGTAGAACCAGCTACATTGGAAGCTATATTGGATGATCAAAAATTCCGTGATCAATTTGTGAGTTGGAACAGTTGTTAAATATGATTAAGGATACAAGAATATCAGTGATCATTAAGAATGATCTTCGTAAGTCGGCAAAGTTAATTTTGGCTTACATAATGACAGACTAACTTGAAATTACTTTAACTCTAGATGGAACAAAAAGAGAGCTGAGTACTGGCAATCACAGATTTTACAAAATGATTTGAAGTAGGTCTGAATTATATCAAACATTATTCGTTAGATGCGATGTGTTCCAGATTTCAAGGTGCCTCTCTTTTTCTGAGAAAGATATCAAATCGATTCATCAAATGACCCTGCGAGCCAGGCCATCTTGCACAGTGCAAGAAGCAAAGTAAACAAGCGTGGGTCAGAACTAAAAGAAAATTCAAGAATAAGTTACTTCGTACGTTTATGTACAAGTCACCAATTACTGTGTATTTTCACTAATCAGCTGGCTTCCTAAATACTATATTATTATTTATTTATTTATTTGAACACATAGATATTTGTACAAGGAGGCACCAAATATATATGCGCCACACAAATCTCATTTGATTTGTGCGAGAGCTGTGATACTGCCCGGGTACCCAAACCGAAGCCAATTTTGGTCTGAAGGTTTAGTCATGAGTGCTTCAGTGACTGTCCCAGTGAAGAAGCCTAAGTCGTCAAAGCCTAAAGTGCCGGCCAGTCGTCAAATACTAAATAATATCATTATAAGATATTCATTCCATGCAAAATATTTTTACATTAAATTTCGTAGTTCATGTCATTTCATACATTTACACCAACTCTCGCTATATACATGTACTCCGTCAACAAAGCTTAGTGCCAAGATTTTGATCATGTTCATTTAATTATGTAGTACTTTTAATTGATTTTTAGTTTTTTTTCTACCTGGTTAATCTTTTTAAATACATATCGTCATAGTAACTTACGTTTGTCATATTAATAATTTTATGATATTCATTAACGTTTGAACTGTTGTCTGTATTTTATTTAGAATATCATGGATACGAGCATGATAAAAAGCTAGGAAATCGTCCGATTTCCTAATTTAACTACAACATTTAAAGACAAAATAGAATTTACGCAACATATTTCTTATATTGCCAAACTAATCTAATATTTTTTTTATTTGTAATGAGTCAGTCTTCTGGATATGGTAGTGAATAAATTAATAGAGTACATGTCTTTAAAATAGGAACTATTTCCATAACATCAATGAACTTTAATCATCGGTTCTGATATAGAGGCATTATATCATCTGTTCAGAACCATTTATTCGTTTGTCACATAATGTATAATGTCAAATGTGTAAGGTGGTATGATATAGATTCTCATAACAACGCAGTGATTTCTCAATGAACTTTAAGCGGTTTTCCCCAACATTTTAAGCTACCAGATACACCGTTTCTCTTATTCCCAACTCGTATAAAAGCGCATTTCTCAACATCATGTGCTATAGCAAGGTGAATGTGGGCTGCATGTTTTTCAACACCAAACTTGTAATTCACGGCTATGTATTTTTTTGATAGTAGCGAGTGAAATGCCCTTACTATCCTTAACCACCAAAATTGCCGCAGTGATCATATTGATTACTGGCGGGTGACTGGCCGACACTTTAGGCTTCGACGAATTGGGCTTTTTCATTGGGAAATCCACCGAAGCGCTCATGATTGATACTTGAGACCGAAATTGCCACACGGAGACAAGAGTTACGGATTCTATGTGATATGGATGGAAATTATGAGAATTAATTTGTGGAGTTTAATCAACTTTCTCAACTTTTAAGGACATTTAATGCATATTTTGGTGACTTCCAATAAAATGGGGTGAATTTTGAGTTAAAAATTTTAGAACTAATAATCTCCTAAGTCATAGTAAGAAGGCTCAGAAACTGTGATTAAATGAACTCAGAGTTGGATTTCGTTTTACTCATTGAGTGTTTAATGACAGAAACATCCTATCCGAAAAGGTGATATTGTAGTGCACAGGAACACGGGTGGGGACAACCGAATGTATTTGACACGAAATTACAGAGCATTCCAATAAAATCTGAGAGCCATATTTTAAATAGTTAATTTGCAAAATATCAATCCATCGTCTCAAATTTGACTGCTCCTTTGCAAATATCAGTCATTGTCTCAGATTTCATTGTTCACGCATTTTCGTATCAATTGTGTTCCGTTTGCGTTCTTGCCTTATCGATCTTCTGCTGAAATACATCCTAAGTCTGACCACCGTTACATACTACATGTGTGGATATAAGTAACCCATACCACAGTATCACCCCCACTAATGAATATTTCAAGGCTGAATCTTCACTAGAACGCAAGTCGTAAGAATTAAAACGGGCCGGAAGACCTACTCTGCTTATTACTGAAGATGATAGGAAATCCTAGATACCTTGTTTCAGTTATTCAAAAATCTCCACCAAATTAATTTGGTGGCATCCTAATGACGGTAAGTTATGATTGATTGTGAGGAATAATTACGTTTTCAAAAAACTTTCCTAATCACTCAACCTTCCAATTTTGGGGAAGCCGCTATAGAACATTTTGGGGTTTTGGTGCCATTTCCCCAAAATTACCCCCTAAATTTACCCAGAACCTTATTACACCTTGGGTAAATCGGCCCGTGTTTAATGATAATACCTCAAAATTTTGAGTAGATTTTGCGTTCTTTCCGAAAATTTTCCCAAACTTGAGAGATCAGGTAAGACATTTTATCATTGCATTATTAAAAATGCACATTATTGTTCTAAAACAAATAACTGTTTCTCACGTTTGATCATTATTTACTTTCATTTTCTCTATCCATGGTT